TATTTTTAACATGGGAGTCAATGAGGATTTGCTCGCTTCTGACACCAGCCCCTAGTGGATGAGGGTGGAACTGCAATTTTTGGTACTTCCAGGTTGGGCTCAATTTTTGAGCCGCATTGTGGGGGCTTGTTCAAATATCATATTTTTACAGGAGACTCATACTGTTAAAGAACATCATATTAAAACAAGTAGAAGATGGCAGGGACTGTTTATACAGCCTCATTCAATTCACAGGCGCGCGGAGTCCCCCCTATCCATAGCCCAGTTCCTTTTCAAGTGTCAAATACAACTGAAGATAAATGTGGCAGATATTTAATCTTACAGGGCTCATTGCTTGATGTTAGTCTGAATCTAGTAAATGTTTATGGTCCAAATGTGGACGACCCAACCTTCTTCACTGACCTCTTCCTGACTCTTTCCTCCCTCCCAGGCGCATGTGTAATTGCAGGGGACTGGAACTGCACATTGGACCCAGCCAGGGACCGTTCCACAGGGGTTGACCAAACACATACTAAAAGTAGGACAACTATTAAACACTTTTTAAAGGAGCTCAGTTTGATCGATGTGTGGAGGCATTGTAAGCAGGACGAAACCGTGTATTCCTGTTTCTCTGGAGTATATAAAACTTTTTCTAGAATTGATTATTTTCTGGTCTCAGCTACACTAATTTCTAAACTAGATGACTGTTTTTATGACGTTATACTGCTTATTATCTGATCACAGACCATGCGGATTTACGTATATAGATAAAGCTCATGTAAGAGATCCACCCAGGTGGAGTCTAAATCCAAAAAGGTTATTAGATGATAACTTTGTAAAATATATTGGGGAGGTAATAGATAATTATTTTAAAGATTACACAACCGAAACAATAACGGTAATTAAATGGGATGCCTTTAAGGCTGTTGTGAGGGGACATATCAAAAACTATCCCTCTTCTAAATCTAGAGATTACCACAAAAAAAGATTACAATTGGAATCCAAAATAACAACCCTTCAGAATTTGGTGAGTAACAACTACACAGCTAAGGCAGAGAAGGAATTATTAACTCTAAAGCCTGAATGTAATAAATGTCAGCTGACAGGGCTGCCACTGATATTATTAGGCTTAATCAAACCTTTTATGAATACGGAGAGAAAGCATGGCAAACCAAACAAATGGAATCAAGGAAAGTAATAACTTCAATCAGCAAAAGTAATGGGATGTTAGTACCCGGCCCTGTTGAGATCAACAAAGAATTCAGAGAATTTCATGACAAATTATATGATTCAGAGGTGCAAAATAATCCTAATATTCAGAATGTGTTCTTGGACGACCTGGAAATCCCGCAGATTCCAAACGAGTTTGTAGAAATATTAGAAGAAGACTTGAAAGAAAAGGAAATTGATAAGGCTATAGATGATATGAGGGCAAACAAGATGCCAGGCCCTGACGGCTTCTCAGTAGACTTTTATAAAAAACATTAACTCTAAATTGCTTAAATCCCTTTTAGAAATGTTTCTGGAGGCCTTTCAATGTGGAAACCTCCCAACATCATTGACAGCAGCACTGATAACACTGCTGCCAAAACCTGGAAAACCAAATAACTCTTGTGGAAACATGAGACCAGTTAGTTTATCGAATGCTGATTTGAAAATTCTATGTAAAGTGTTGGCAAGGAGGCTTCAAGAGACATTACCTTATGTAATACACAGAGATCAAAACGGGTTTATCCTTGGACGACAGGGGTTTCATAATGTTAGAAGAGTTTTTAACATTATTCAGGGTCTGGAGGAAACCTCAGATAAAGCCCTCCTATCTTTGGATGCCGAAAAGGCTTTCGATAAGCTGGAGTAGCCTTATCTTTTTAATGTTCTGGAACATTTTGGGTTTGGGAACAATTTCATAAAATGGCTTCAATTACTGTATATAAATGCAACAGCTAAAATTATAACAAATAGAACATCTCACAGCCAAATAAAATAAAGAGGGAATGTCGTCAGGGCTGCCCGCTCTCGCCTCTTCTGTTCACTTTAGCAACTGAACCGCTGGCAATAGCTATAAGGAATAATGCAGCGATAAGTGGTACATGCTTTTCTAACTGTGAGCACAGGGTAGCACTATACGCTGATGATATTATCTTGTTTGTTTCACACTTGAGGAAGACTATTCCAACTATTTTAGATCTGATTAGCGCATTTGGTAAAATCTCACGCTGTATAATAAACAATACAAAATCCTCTATCCTACTGCTTAGTGAGAAAGAAGCTGAAAAACCAACTCCACAAGTACTGGCCTTTAAAATAGTGGACCATTTCACATATTTAGGGATAGAAATTAGGCGTAAGTTGAATTTGATTGTTAGATCTAATTATGAACTCCTAATGAATGACATAACAGGATTAGCAGACAGGTGGATGCCTTTACCTCTGTCTTCGATTGGCAGAAATAGTCTTATAAAAATGAATATACTCCCCAAAATACTATGTTTTTCAAAATGTGCCTTTACCTCCAGCAGCTGAGTTTTTTGGGAAAGTTAAAAAGCTGTTTACTGAATTCATATGGAAAAATGCTAAAGCTAAGATTCAGTTCCATGCTGTCGTTCTTTTTTTAAAACACAGAAACAGTTTCGTTACCTGTTTTGTCGCTACGTTTCGTCTGCGGCTGCAGACTTCCTCAGGCTGACGCTGATGGTGGCGTCACTTCCTTCTCCGTTTATCCGCAGGCAGCAGAGGACGTTGTCGCCCTCTGCTGCCCGCTTTCCCCTCTCCGACGATGCAGTCCCATGGGTGGACCAATGTGTAAACTCCATTGTCCCTGTTCATGGTCCCACATCCACATCTCCTTATCTCGATTGCTTCTTTAATCCGTCTTTTGTATTTTTGTTGTTCGGTGTTTATGATCCTTGTGTTGTCCCAGTCCATTATATTGTGAAGGACAGAAGACGGGAGTTGCCGGATTCTGAGGGCGTGGTGATTGGACACCGGCTGGTCCTTGTTATGGGTAATGAGGCCGGAGAGGACAAAAGGGTGACAGATCTACCGAGTTGGTGTGTGTGGTCGACCTGTCATTGTGGCATCGGATTCTGGGGGGTGGGGTCATTCGCAGTCGTTTAGGGCTGCCGGCGACGAAGATAGTTGTGCAGGTGGGCAGTGTTCCAGCGCTAGGAGGGAAGGCTTGACGCCTTCTTTAGGTAGCGAGGGCTGGGAGTAGTTGGGTGCAAGGAACCACGCCGACATCTGCCGCCACAGACTCTGGCAGTTGGACTTAAGTTGTGGATTTACCCGCCGTCCTCGCAAGCTGCATCCCGGGGCATTGGACGGTGTCGGAAGCTCAGACCCCGGGGAGGGGGTCATATCAACAGGGACAGCTAAGTACCGCTGCTTGTTTTGTTTATGCTGGACAGCTGGTTTTATCATGAGGGAATTTGGCCGTAGTGTTTTATTGTTGATTGTATTAATAAAGGATGTCTTTTTATAAGTCGCTGCCTACTGGTGTTTTTGGGTTCTGACTGGAGGGCAAGATATTCTGCCCGTGCTCCCACTGAAACTTATATTACAATATGGTTTTCTCTTGTGCAGTGATCTGTTACGGCTGACTTCTTTATTGTGCTTTCTGCTTCTTCTTTTGCTGCCCTTGTGTGTTTGACTTGTTTCTTTCTCGCACTCCTTTCTGTGTTCTATTGTCCGTGTGTTGAGTTGGCGTCCGGTTTCTCCTATGTGTGTTTTATTGCAGAGTTTGCATGGGATTTCGTAAATGACTCCACATTTAAGTCCAGCTGGTATTTTGTCTTTTGGGTGCACTAGTCTGTTTCTAACTGTTGTGTATGGTTTTGTTGGTGTGTTTATGTTGTGTTTTTTCATTGTTGCTCTTATTTCTTCCGTTATGCCTCTGATGTATGGTAGGGTTATCACTGGTTCTGGTTCTTGTCTTTCTGGGTTTCTGGTTCTTTGCTTTGGTTGTTCTTTTCTTTCTGTTGTTGTTTGTTGTTTTCCTTTGTTTATTGCCCATGTCGGGTATCTGCAGGTCTTTAAAGCGTGTTGTATGTGTTTGTCTTCTTGTTTACGGTCTCTTTCTTCTGTTACCATGTTTGCTCGGTGATATAATGTTCTGATTACTGACATGTTGTGTATGGTGGGGTGTTCTGATGTCCATAATAGATATTGGTCTGTGTGTGTTGGTTTCCTGTATGTGTTTATGTTTAGGGTCCCGTCGGTCTGCCTGGTTATGTTCATGTCCATAAAAGCTATGCTGCCTTCTGTTTCTGACTCCTATGTGAACTTTATGTTGCCTGTGTCGTCAATGTTATTTAAGTGTTGTGTTAGTGTTGCTGTTTGTCCTTTTGGTATGATTTCCAGCATGGGACCGCATCGTCGGAGAGGGGAGAGCGGGCAGCAGAGGGCGACAACGTCCTCTGCTGCCCGCGGATAAACGGAGAAGGAAGTGACGCGCCACCATCAGCGTCAGGCTGAGGAAGTCTGCAGCCGCAGACGAAACGTAGCAGAAAAAAAGGTAACAAAACTGTTTCTGTGTTTTAAAAAAGAACGACAGCATGGAATTAGAACCACGACACAGCAAGAACACACCTAAGATGTTCTAAGATTCAATTGTCTTTTATTACACAAGCGGCCGAAATGAGTTTCCTCCATAGGGTGGCCGGGCTCAGCCTTAGAGATAGGGTGAGGAGCTCGGACATTCGGGGGGGACTCGGAGTAGAACCGCTGCTCCTTGAGTATTTCATTAGCATATATTATGTATGCAATTGATTATATGTGGAACATATATCATGATCAGCATTATTCCTTTGGTGATGGGATAGAATACAAATGAAGACATTTGGTCAGATTCAGATGATATAACATTGTAAAGGCAAATGTATTTGACTTTTTTTCAAGACTTTTGAAGAAATTGCTTGAAAATAACAGAAATATTCTAACTGATGGAAAAATTAGCTGTCTTTAACTAAACTGAACACAGGTCTGTGGAACGGAATAAATGTTTATCCAGCAGGTGGCGCTAGCGCACCTTTAGGCTGGTCACGGACCACCGGAAGCAGCAGAAACCGGAAGCTGCTAGCAGAGCTAGCTTGTTGTTGTTGTGGTGTGTGAGGAGAAGATTTGAGGCTCTGCAGTAAAAATGTCTTCACTTCAGTCTCTGGGAGAGTTGATCAGCTAAAGCGACTAACTGCTGCTGCTGCAGAAATCTTCTCACCAGGCTGTGGAAACTTTCTTCTCCTCCTCAACAACTTGGTGGAGTTCTTTCCAGAAGCAGAGAAGCTATTCTGCGGTCTTCGTGACAATCGGAGCTCCAGAAGCAGGTGATGGGTGAGAAAAGCTTTTCTCTAGACTTCCTGCCCTCTGGATCTGCTGCTGTTCCTTTGGCCTCTCTGAGAAACGCGCTCGTTTTGCTGCTTTCATCAGATTGAAGAGGTTCCCTCTATCAGACTCGCTCATCTGAGTTGGTCATGATGCAGGATCGCTGCTCGCTCTCTCATCCATCCTGCTCACACTCTCCGACGGAAAAGGCCCGAATCTGAATGTGACTCTGGAGGAAAAAGCGGTTAGCTCTACTCCGTGAACTCTGGTGAGCAAAGGTCCTCTTTTCCAGACTGGATGTGTCCTCAGCTGATCAGAACCAAAGCGTTGGATCTTTAATCTCCTGCGTTGTTCTGAAGCAGCATCTTAATCAGCTCTCCTGCTTTGTTTCTATTGCAGCTGTTAGCTAAACACGGCTAAAGAAAACCTGCTACCACTTCAGGATCATCCATCAGCTGGGACTGCTTCATCAGCATGGACACAGGTACTGGTGTGTGTGTGTGTGTGTGTGTGTGTGTGTGTGTGTGTGTGTGTGTGTGTGTGTGTGTGTGTGTGTGTTCTGGACATGGACACAGGTACTAGTGTGTGTGTGTGTGTGTGTGTGTGTGTTCTGGACAGCATGGACACAGGTACTGGTGTGTGTGTGTGTGTGTGTGTGTGTGTGTGTGTGTGTGTGTGTGTGTGTGTTCTGGACAGCATGGACACAGGTACTGGTGTGTGTGTGTGTGTGTGTGTGTGTGTGTGTGTTCTGGACAGCATGGACACAGGTACTGGTGTGTGTGTGTGTGTGTGTGTGTGTGTGTGTGTGTGTGTGTGTGTGTGTGTGTGTTCTGGACACTACAGACTCTCTTTGGTTTTGGATTCTCATCTTAATCTTGAGTCCCTCATCAGGAAAGTGTCCAGAACCATTAGGACCAACCTCAGCTGCCTCCCTCTCATCACAGACAGACAGATGTGCTTTATTGATCCGAGGCTGGGAAATAGCCGTGTAGCAGCAGCGTTACACACATTGTCGTAAACACGGCCGTTGCGGTTGGATTTACGGTGAAGATGACGGAGGCAGCATAAGGTGGAGGTAGCAACAGTTTATTCCAGCACATGCCAAACAAAGCATCCCTCTCATCTGTTTCTGCAGCCTTAAAACGTTTCAGCCGTCACCTGGACTAAACCATCTTCCACCCACAGGGGAGTTTAACCACTACCTCTTCAATCTGTTATACCACCTATTCAACCATTTTAAGTACAAAACACTTTTCTAGCTACTTTTATTAAGATTTTTAATACATATAAATTTTACAACAACAAGAAACTACATATAAAACCCACCACACCCTCCTCCTATGGCCTCTCCCGGAACCTTAGCAGAGTGTCTGGACCCTGAGGGAAACATTTGCCCAAACACCCTGTAGAGGACAAAGAAACAGGTGAGAAACACTTCAGCAACCTCTTTGCACTCACTTCCTAAATTCAAATGTACACTGCCTTTGCTTAAAGCTGAAGATCAGTAGACCTTTTTCCCCATTAACAATCCTCTGTCCTCACAGGCAGTCACCACAATTCTCCACGAGGAGCGCCTGTGCAGGACCTGGAACAAAGGCCACATCCTAATTATTAAAATGCTAAATACTCAATTATAAACTTCTTGATGTGCAAGTTGATGCTTAAAGTGCAGTGCTAAATAAAGTGCTGAAGTGCCTTCACCAAAGTGCAAGTATTTATTTAAAGTGCTGTACCCCTGTAATGAAGATCCCTTCAGTACACACATTTAGATGAGGAAAACTATAGCAATATAAAAAGTAGGGCTGCAACAACGAATCGATAAATTCGATGAAAATCGATTACTAAAAGCGTTGGCAACGAATTGCGTCATCGATTCATTGTGTCGCACAACTCTTCCAAAGCCCCGCCACTTCCCGCCCGCCGTTGGGCGCAGACCGAACCAAGTCAGATCAGCGCGAGGGAGAGCCGGCAGGTGTTTGGAAGAGGAACATGGCAGAAGCAGCGAGACCCAAAAAAGTAAAAACTTCTAAAGTTTGGGAGCATTTTCAGTTAAATCAGGCGAAGACATTCGTTACCTGCAACGTTTGTAGGTCAGACTTAGCATGGCACGGGAGTACTGCAGTGATGATGCAGCGTCTTAAACACAAGCATGCCGAATCATCAGCGAGGAAGGAGAGAGCTCTGTGTCCGGGTAAGTTAAAAACTTTTCAAAAGTGATTCACCCAAGCCCCGGATTATTACACAGGCTAGACATGCCCTAAGCTCGTAAAAAAAAGTCTATAAAATCGTAAACGCGACGCTATTAGATAGGCGTGGGGGGGGGGGACTCGCGCTGCTGCGAACCAGTTCCGCCGTCACATTCCCGCAGAAACTGGTTGATCACACCGGGGCCAGACTACTAGCATCAGTTATGTCTTCCTCTTTCAGACTGCACAAGTCTTTGTCATTTCTGCGGACTTCAGGTGAGAGCAGAGCAGCAGAGATAGCGGGCTGCTGCTCCAGAAAACGTTCCAGCATGTCCAGTGCACTATTCCATCTGGTCACAACATCAAGTGTGAGCTTGTGTTGTTTAAGCTGCAATAGTTTCTGCTTCTCTTTCAAGATGCAGCTGGCTGTTGTGCTGCGATGGAAGAACGTTACAATGTGCCTCACTCTCCCAAGCAGGCGTGCGATATTTGGGAGTTTGAGACCGGTTTGTGAGGCGAGGTTTATGATGTGTGCAAAACAGCCAATGTGTGTTAACCCCATCATCTCAACAGCACCAATCATATTAGCCGCATTGTCGGTCACCATAGCAGGATCTTTGCTCATCAGCCCCACTCCTCCATCGCTGAGGTCAACATTTCTGCTAGACTGGCAGAACGATGGTCAGTTTCAACTTCTGTGGTCTGTAATGCGTACGAGTTGAGGTTCCACTCCTCGTCAATGTAGTGTGTCGTCAAACTCATGTACGATTCCGTAGCCACAGATGTCCAGGTATCCGTTGTAATGCCCACTCTCTCTGCTGACTGAAGCTTACTTTTCACATTTTCTTTCACCGACTGGTGCATGTTTGGGATGACTTCTTCTGAAAGACGTTTGCGCGAAACCATAACATATTGCGGCTCCGCTACTTTCATTAGCCGCTTGAAGCCCTCGTTTTCAACGACAGAATATGGGCGCTTGCAAATGAAGCCCGCTATCGCCTCGTTATTTTGTGAGAACGTGTAGAATTAGCCGGTAGTTGTAGAGATTCCTTGAATTTCATCTGCTGCAGACCAGTGGACGGCTTGCACGCAAGATCTTGGTGATGTCGGAAAATGTGATTGTTGAGATTGGTTGTATTTCCGCAATATTTCACCTCCATTTGGCATGCCTTGCAAATCACTTTGCTTTTGTCAAGCTGACCTTTCTCTTTGTCCGTTCTGAAACCAAAATGCTGCCAGACCGCAGCTTTAAGAGTTTTTCGTGTTTTCAAACCGAGCGCATGGCTAACGTCGCTACTAGTATCCGACGCCATTTTTAAAAATATCTTCACACCTAGCACGCATGCGTGAATTCAGTCACATGACGGTGGGCGGGAGAAGGTCGCTGCACCATATTAACCCTCTATCATCACCCACGCCTCTGAACTTCTTTTATATTTTAGCTGTACAAGAGCCAGACACTGTTAAATGGTTAAATCGATCTTTGGACGTATGAATCGATCTTTATGAATTTATATAAGAATCGATTCAGAATCAGAGAATCGATTTTTTCAGCACAGCACTATTAAACATGTACTGTTTAACCATGAAATTTAAATGTAATAGGGTAAAACCCAGTGCATTTAACATAATGCTGCACTTTAGAAAATGGGTTGAAATATAACATGTTGGTGGAGCTGGGTTCCCACTATCAGTTTGGTCCCCTCCCCGCAGCTCGGCACATCTCTGATCGCCGCGGCGCTTGGGCTGCCGGCTTGTGGAGCTCTCAGATTGAAACCGATGTTTTCCACCCGGTTCTCCTCAGCGGCAGCTCAACACATCTCTGACCGCAGCGGCGCTTGTCTGCTGTGCGGCTGCCGGCTTGTGGAGCTCTCGGAGACCTCTGTGTTCCACCCGGTTTTACCCAGCGGTCAGCCCGGCGTATCTCTGACTCAGAAGCTCTGGTGTTGTGCACAGTTAACTCCGGTTGTGGCTAGGTAGCTACCTCCGTTAGCTTAGCTCCCACCCACGTGTTAGCTTTGGGTTAGCTTCAGGTTAGCTTGTAGCTAGTTCGACCGGGTGTCGTCAGTTGATCCCAGCCTTACAGCCCCACCCTCAGCTCCACCTCTCTTCCCTTTTGTGGAATTGTCTGAGCTTGACGGAACCTGTGACACGGTCAAAATGGCGGTGGTGTCCACCTCCCATTTATCTTCAAAAACGTGTTACTGGAGTCTATGGAAACCCATTGTCCATATATATGTTGATGGGTTTCCCCCAGAAAATGAGTTAAGCCTGGCGGCTTTGGCCGACCGGGGGGGGGGAGGTTGCGCGCTCCTCCGTGAGAGCGGGCACATGTTCCACTGCTGTTTCTCACCAGTATCAGCTGATGGAGGGCTCTAGTTTCACTGCGGCATTCGTGTCAGTGGACACGGTAGGGTCGGGGAGGGGGGCGGGGCATGACGCTTAGCCTGGCAGGTGAGCAAGCAAAGCGCTGGGGGAAACCCTGGATGTGGTGTGGTAAGATAGCTACTGCGTGACTTTGAACTGAAACATAATGTTCCAAAACTGTGGGTGACTGTGTGTAAATGTGGGTGAATCGTCAGAACGAGGAACAAACATCATGGACATACATGAGATAAATGGTATTTAAAAACTCAAACAGACGCTACTACTTTAACAATACTTTATTGGTACCTATATGTATAATTCTAAGAGAAAATAGCAAATACTTAGTTGTTTTATTTAATTTAAGCAAAAATCACAACAAACTTTCAGTGCTAACATTAAAGGCTCAAGATTTAAATATTTGCATTCAATAAAAAGGTAGTATTTACATTTTTGTGCAAAACAACAGTTAATAGTGAAGATAAAGTGCAAACTATTTTGGTGTACAAAATACTAACATCTTATCTAAAAACTTGGGAAAAAAACATATTTAATTCCCAAAATAGGAAACAAATTAAAAAAACTGTATAAACTTGAGTTCTAGTGGGTTTTCAGAATAATTAGCATGTATGCTTTTTCTGGCAGGGCTGACAGCGTGGATCGCTTCTGTTTGTATTGAATTTAAGTTCAGGAGGGAAATATTAGATAAATCATAATTTTCATCTTGATAGCATCTCAAAAATGAGGTAGACGCGGATAGTTTACACACCTTTGTGCTTGCTGCTTCATCTTCCTGTGAGGGGTTAACAGTTACACTAAATGTGAGAATCAGCAGATTAGCCTTTCAGTAGTGCTGATGCTATAGCTAATGCTACAAGTCGATAATAAGAAGCGTTCTAAACTGATGCTAGGTAAACCAACTGCAGGGAAGTTTGTTTTATGGCGTATTTATGCTTTTATTCTTTGTTTATTATTGCTTACCTCTGGAACTTTCTGTGATGTTGTTGATGCCGGCTTCCCCTTTTTGCTGATGCAGCCGAGGATGAAGGCTGTAAACTCGGGCATGCTTCGGGTTTGCTTCAGCTCACAAGTTGAATTCATACCTGATCCAAACGCGATGAGTTGCTTTGACAAATTGCTGGTATTCCTGTTATTCGCTAACCCAAACCCTAAGCCACAAATATTGTTACACATGTTTAATTGTGCTCTGTTCCCATTAACCTATTCAAAATGCAGCTGACCTTTAGATTTTTTCAGCATTTTCAACTTGTACCTCATTTAATTTGCAGGAGTGTTAAAAGGGAGAGGAGGGGCCTGTGTGCGAGTAAACTAGCTCATCTCGTCCGCGCGACACGTGATGCGGCGCAGCGGTGAGAGAAATGGAGCGCCACAGTCACAGGGACATTTTATTGAAAAACTACCAAAATGTTGCACCGAGAGATATGATTTTTTGCGGAACCAGTACCTACTGATTGCTTTTGGTCGTTACCAAACAAGTTCTGAGCGTTGGTACCCATGCCTACTTACAGAAGGGTTGTAGATTAACTGCAGCAAAATGAACTGAGACCAGCAACAGGTCAGTTTGCTCCTGATCTATTTTGCGTCTGCCTCCTAAACCCTAACCATGCACTTAAAATATAGCCAAGAATTATACTTTAAAGTACTGATTATCCCACATCAGGAGATAGATCAGTTTTTATGGTGTTTTTGTGTGAAATAAATACGTGAAATCACTGATTCATGTTGTCAGTGTGTTAGAAAAATCTGATGAATTTGAGTTTTTTAGTATTTTTAATCTTTGTAAATTCACCTCACAAAGTTATTTCCTGTCCTCTGAGTCAGTTCTGATCTCACCAACTAAAAGCAATAATACTACTGTACAGTCACTACTGTGAATATAAAATCACAGCGATCCGTAATTCATGTCATGTTTCTGTCTTTCCTACAGATGTTAAAGAGGTGGTGCCAGTTAAAGAAGAAGCTCCTGAAGAACAGAGTGCTAGTGTGGACCAGCAGGACTCGGAACACCTCCACATCAAGGAGGAACAGGAAGTACTTCGGGCCAGTGTGGAGGAAGAGCATCTCCGTTTGAAAGAGGAGACTGATGCTTCCAGGTTTCCTTTAACTGCAGTTTCTATAAAGAGTGAGGATGAAGAAGAGAAACCTCTTTCCTCACAACTTCATCAGCAGCAAATAGAAGACAAAGATTTTCTAACCAGCTGCTCAGCTGATCAGTTGACAGTGGAAACTTGCAGGAGCCCAGATCTGAACCTTCACAAACAGACATCCAATTCGTCAGAGACTGAAGTTAGTGGAGAGGATGATGTGAATCTAGACTCTGAGCTGTCAGACTCTGGGCCTGAAACTGCAGATGGAGACAATGAGAGCAGGTCTGAGTCACATGTTAACACTGTTAACAAATCCTTTAGCTGCCCTGAGTGTGGTAAACAATTTCTCCACAAGTGGTCTCTACGGAAACATGTGAGAGTGTCAGGTCATTCAGCAGTAAGGCCGCCAGGCTGTTTGGGTAAAAAGAAATGTGTCAGAGTGGATCAACATGAAGACTCATGCAGGAAACTCCAGAAAGAACTAAAATCATTTAGTTGTGGTGACTGTGGAAAAAGATTTAGCACAATATCACTTTTAAACAGACACGTGAAAGTCCACACAGGACAGAAGCCTTTTCCTTGTGAGCTCTGTGGAAAAGGATTTAGCCAAAAGACACATTTAAACGGTCACATGGGACTCCACACAGGACAGAAGCCCTTTGCCTGCGAGCTATGTGGAAAAAGATTTAGCACAAAATCACTTTTAAACAGACACGTACAAGTCCACACAGGACAGAAGCCTTTTACCTGTGAACTATGTGGTAAAATATTTAGACTAAAGGGAACTTTAAGCAGACATATGCATGTCCACACAGGACAGAAGCCTTTTGCCTGTGAGCTCTGTGGAAAAAGATTTAACCAAAAGACAAATTTAAACAGTCACATGAGTGTCCACACAGGACAGAAGCCTTTTGCATGTGAACTTTGTGGAAAGAGATTTAGCCAAAAGATATACCTAAACAGTCACACAAGAGTCCACACAGAATCGAAGCCTTTTGCCTGTGAGCTCTGTGGTCAAAGATTTAAGCTTAAGACAACGTTAAACACTCACATAATAGCCCACACAGGACAGAAGCCTTTTGCTTGTGAGCTCTGTGGAAAAAGATTTAGCCAAAAGACAAATTTAAACAGTCACATGAGAGTCCACACAGGACAGAAGCCTTTTCCCTGTGAGGTCTGTGGAAAAAGATTTAGCCAAAAGGCAACTTTAAACAGACACATGAGTATCCACTCAGGTCAGAAGCCTTTTCCCTGTGAGGTCTGTGGAAAAAGATTTAGCCAAAAGGCAACTTTAAAAAGACACATGAGTGTCCACTCAGGTCACAAGTAACTCATTTAACAGTGTGGTTGACTGAAAAAACTATTTTTAATGAATCCATGCTTTCGTTCTTTTTAAAAACAGAAACAGTTTTGTATACCTGTTTTGTAGCTACCGTTTCGCCGACGGCTGCCGGCTTCTTCAGGCTGACGCTGATGGTGGCGCGTCACTTCCTTCTCCGTTTATCGTCAGCCTGAAGAAGCCGGCAGCCGTGGGCGAAACTGTAGCTACAAAACAGGTAAACAAAACTGTTTCTGTGTTTAAAAAGAACGAAAGCATGGATTTAGAAAGACACAGCAAGAACACACCTAAGCTATTTTTAATGAGTATTTCTGATCATAATTGTTACTTTATACAGGCTGAAGATGAAAATAGTCTCCTACACCTAAATGTTAAAATGCACGAGAATGTTTTTTATGTTTAACACTGCGGTTTCTGTGAATTATCTGAGAGCCATATGCAGTCATCAAAAGAGCCACATACGGCTCACGAGCCATAGGTTCCCTACCCCTGCTCTAGGGTTTGAAATTCCTTACAGATCTATGTCACTGTGATCTCATGGAATTCATGGATTCACCGATCTTGTTTTTTGGGTGAACAGGTTTTTTTAACTCATTCACTGCAGCCGTTTCCTGATCAGAAAAGACTTTCGCTGCCAGCATTTTTCAGCATTTTTACTGTGCTTTTAAGAGTCACAGAATGTTGCGTGCTAGGATGATGTCAACACCAAAACTACCAAAACAAAGAGGAGACTCACCTCTTACATCAAAAAGAATCCCCGCGTTTCGAGCATTATCCGTTCTTTCATAACCCGCTGTCGAATTGTGATCGGCAGAAGCTTTTCCGGTTCGCAACTCACTTTTATTTTTTTACAGCAGTGGCCCAACACATGGATTTTCTACTTCCTGATCAATTTACGTGTGACGCACGCGGGTGAAGTTTGGCATTAGAGCTGGGATGTTTGTTCTCATGGAGCGGGGGCTCGTTCCGACACCCACACAGTAAAAAATGCAAATGACGATTTGTTAGATTTAAAATGACGACTTTTGTCATCAATGGCAGTGAATGGGTTAATTGTCAAATATGTCTCAGCTAGTTTAAGTTAACCGTTAGCATTAGCAACTTCATGACACGACAGATGGTCCTCATGGCTTGTGTAAATTGTGATGATAAAATCCACGTTGCAAGACAGTGGTAGATAGAGATGGGTACCTTTGGCATTTGAATCGATATGACACCAGTTCCCGGTACCTACGAATCGATACTGGTACTTAATGGTACCAATTTTCAATACTTTTGAGTGTTTAATAATTATTTAAATTGCTTTTTAAAATAAATTTATTTTATTTTCCCAATATATAACCATATTTGATAAATATCATGATAAATAACATACAACTGTTTGTATTTTATCATTGCAGTGTTTTACAAAAGTATTCAATATGAAAACCTTTAACAACTTTTTCTAAATGACGCAAAAACAAACACAGCTCCATGTACTCCTGTTCCTCTTCTATGCCCTCTGAAATAAATTTACTGTGTATCTTCATTCCTTTTGCCATTCATTCTCAAACTGTTTATTTTTTCTACTCGGAAATTGGAATTTCCGAGGAGAAAGTGAACGCACCATTAGCTATGTAAACAAAACTAAACTATCAAGCTTATTTTGCAGCTGAAGCAGATTAAGATGCCTCATACTCAGATTGTTGTCGCTGGTTTCATCATCACCCAACAGCCCATCGCGTTTAGTCAAGTGAAGCCAAACTTTAGAGTGCGTTCGCTTTCTTCTAGTCGACTTTCGGCGTTCTGAGAAGAAAGCGAACACACCATTAGCTGACCGGAAGCTAACATATCAAGCTAACATTATCTTAAACATTTCATTAGCATACTGGAGCAGATTAAGATGATGTTGCCTCACTTGGATCATTGTTGTTGCTTTCATCATCACCCAGTTACCCATCCCATTTAGTGAAGTGGACCCAAACTTCAGAATGCTTCCTCGGCTGCTTTGTTTACAGCTCACTCACAGTGACTGACGACGTTACGCTCTTGCGCCAGTGCATGGCACAAGTACCGAAACAAGGCACCGTTTCTTATGACATGAATCGGTACTCAGTCGGTACTATGGAATTCGGTCGGTGCCTTAAAAGGTACCGAATTCGGTACCCATCCCTAGTTTTAGAGCCGCATTGCTGTTTTCCAATCTGAGGCCCGGTGTCCAAATATCAAACTGCCATCTTCCCCTTAAGTCATCCAGGGCAGTAAGTAAGTAACATTGGCCTTTTTCTGGTAGACATTCTAGAATATTCTCAATTTCCTCCGCTCTTCTTCAGCAGTCTTTTCAAACTCACGCGGTTCACCCGCGGCTCGTGAAAAAAATAGTGCAGACGCCGAAACGATCGCTGCACGGTGCGGGTGGAGCTCCGGCGCGCAGCGCTTCGGCGGCCCATGTGGCCTATAGAATAGGATAACAAGGGCGACGAATGAAGGCGGTCCCCGTTTCGCGGAGCTTTGGCAGCACACGACCGTTGTAGCAGCTGAGGACGGGCGAGGGGGGGTTGGCAACAAAGCAATGAAACGTTGTGCAGGGAGTCCCCCCTCCTCTCCCTAGCTGGGAGAGGAGGGGGGGGGCGTAATACAAGAAAATAAACATCCCTCCCTACAATAGAATACATCTATTGTATTTTTCAGCCTTATATTTTACATAAGGCTTATACATTGCCACATACTAGTCATTTAGCGTATCTTATTTTTATTTTCCTAATACTGTCGGCTTTGGAAAGGATCAAAACACAAAAGTGTAAAACTCCACAGACTCAGAAAACAAAAAACTTGAATGTTAGATTTATACTGACTGAGTTTGTGTGTTCTGTTGTTTTTGAGATTGCAAAATAAATCTTATTTGCATTACTTGGAAACCCTAGTGAGTTATTGAGACAGTTCTGTGGTGTGTAATAGAGAAATAAGTTAGCATCAAAAAGGCAGAGAATGAAGGGTTTAATCTTAAGAACATTTGTGTTTATTTCTTTTTTTGTGACGGAGATTTATCGGCCTTTGTTAAAAGTTTTATATCCGTATCGGTCCCAAAACAAGCATATCGGTCGGGCCCTAGTTTGAATGTAACTTTATTACATCACACACACATAAAAATCTGCAGCTTATTTGTCCTCCCAATTAAAGCTGTGTTGCTTCCTTTTAGCACCCCCTACTGTTCGTTTGTAGAAGCGAAACTATCTCCTTACAGTGCGTTCGTCTTTTTAACACCATAAGCTAACAGCTGAAATGTCTCCAAGCATTCCTAAGTGTCTGCCGAAGTGATTCATCACTGAATTAAACAAATCGGCTGTGTTCGTGATCTAAAACATGCAGGACGTGCTGAAGCCCGACAGCAGCGTCAGGTATCTCAGCTCAGTTTTCTAAGTTCCAGCAGACCGGACCGGTGTTCTCACTATCCGTGCTTCCTCGTTGAATTATCCTACCACAGCGTGTTAGGACAGTTTCACTCTTGTTTACAGTATAGTGTGCTTATTATGCACGGTTTATCTTAAATGGGTGATAATACATAAAAATTCAGAACTGTAGTATAATGGTTCGCAAAAATATAGTGTTTGTGATTTATTTATGAAAAAGACCGTGTTTGTAAGGGCGTTACCGACACCTCTCTCTCCCTGGCTGCAGCTGAAGTGTGGCGGTCAGAAAGCCTCACACTGTTGCTCAACGTTCGACAAGCACATAGTAACGCACGTCCTTCCATCCCCAGTAACGGTAACGGCGTTGCAACAGTGGGAAAAGTAATTAATTAGATTATTCTGTTACCTATAAAAGAACGCCGTTATACTTAAACGGCGTTACTCCCAACACTGCTCATCAGAAACATCGAGCTGGACCGGGACAAAATCTGAAGCCTTATCAGCTTTATTAAACCAAATCCCTCCACCAGAGAGAGCTATTTCTGGTTAAAGAAATATGTGGTGGAGTAGGCACATCATGGAACGGCTTAATGTTTGTGGGGAGCAACACGGAAGCAGCAGAACATGATTCACCATCAGTGACCAGGTAAGTGGTGGACAACATGACAGGAGACATGGAGAAAAATGAATCCTGATATTTTTGGTCAAGGTCAGGCCTGACAGCCATCGTCGCATGAAGTGGGGAGGTGGGCATCTCAATTTTGGAAAAATCTAAGTACAGGCAACACAGTTCTCATGAGAAGTTGGGATTCTGCCAAGTTTTCATTAAAGGGAATTGGCAGCGAGTAGTAGACTCCCATGGGGTCATGAGGGTCATTTTCCATGTAACAATCTTCTTCATCTATGCGAACAGCTTGCATCCCGTCCCCTATAGTAACGATGGAGATTCTTAGCTCAGACATAAGGTCTCTGCCCAGGAGATTGAGTGGGCATTTAGAGGCAATAACCAAAGGGATTCTTTTCCTCAAACCCGTTATGGGGTCCTCCACGAACACAGGTTTGGACAACTGGGTGCGAGTGGTAGCCCTGTCTGCAGATTTAACCAAAATGCTATTATTAGATTTGGGCAGCCTCACCCCAGATGAAACGACAGTTCTGCATGCCCCAATGTCACATAGAAACTCAACAGCTTGTCCCTGAACCGTAAGTCTAATGTAAGGTTTTTCTTTCAGCACACTGCGTAACTCCCAAGCACCGCAGCAGGCCACCACAGACGTGTCATCCTTCCTCTCATGGGCTGTGTTTAGTCATTGTAGAAAATCATTTCCTGGTTCCTGCCTGAAGCGAGTGTGGTCAGGCTGTCCTGCTGCTCGTTATTGGCCGCGGAACCTGTTAGATCCGCCCCGTTACCTCGCCCTCTACTACGACCTCGTGAGTTTGAGGGACAGTCATGTGAAATACGGCCAGACCCGCCACAAACCCAGCAGGTGGGGCCATCCTTGTTATTTTGTGGCTGCCAATGTCCCTGGGCTCCTCGGCCACGCCTTTGGGGCTTAAAGCCTCCTCGAGCGTGTCCTTGTTGGTAATACACAGCATTTTCCTCCAACTGTTGTTGGTATCGGGCTCATCAGGTTTTTGTTTTATTGAGGCTAATTTGGTCAATTTAGAGGTTTTCTGAAAGTTTTGTTTAACAGAATTAGCTAAAAATTCAAATTGGGTCTTAAAATCTTCGTCTAACTGCTCATTAGCATCTCTGGAATAAGGGATCACAGCCCCATCAACAGTTCGGCCCGTAAATGTTCCTCGGGCCTTGTGCCAATGCTTTCCAAGGCTGGCCTGAGCTAATTGTCCCAGCTCATGGCCGTTCAGGCGGTAAGAGTGAACCACCTCCTTCATGTCTGCGACCCATTTATCAGGATCATAAGTATGGGGTGTAATTTGTTCCGCAACTTCTCTGACATCCTTAAGGGACCAGGGCCTGAACACATATTGAGGCACCTGGGGGTCATGTGCGGGACCTTGGACCATTGGACACACATCAATTTTATTTTGGGTTATCTTCCCCTGAGCTGGTCTCTGATTTTTCTTTAATCTGTTTACATGTCACGGCTCTAGTTTCCACTCCTGGTTCTGGTTTGGGATGCTTGATTTTCATTTTGCTTTTTGTAGAAATACTTTCAGGCATCTCAGGGGCATCGCCCTTTGAGGGTGGGGCTGAAGTGCCACCAATGCCATCGAGAGACGGATACGGCACTTGCGGTGGCTGAGACCCATCAGGAGGCGGTGGACCTGATAAGGAGGGGGCAGTGTGAGGGACAATTCGTCGCTCAATTTCTTCAGTACATAAACATCCTCTTCAGTGCTACTCTCACTGTCCTTTTTACGGTCTTTCTGTATCTGAATACCTGCTTTTCTTTTCTCTGTCTCTTCCATCCACAGTTTGGCCACACGCAGCTGTTCCTCCTTTTTCACCTTATTTTTTCCTGTTGCAGTTACAACTTTAGCCTCATACAGACATACTCAATCATTCCATTGCTGTCCCTTCAGCTTGCCATCAACTCTGTACTTCTTATTCCATTTTTTCATATATTTCAAACTGTCGGGGAATCTATGATACATATATTTCGAATCTCCTTCCAACTGCGCAACTGATGTAATGTTACCCATTCAATACGATTCAATCACTGGGTTTTATTAACTGGTTTGGTGAAATGAGCGGGGAGAATACCACGTATTTCAAGAAAAATTATTATAAGAAGTAGAACCAGCGAGATGTTAGAAATAATAAGGAACGTAAATCTGGAAATCATTAAAATGGTTTGTAGTTAAAAACTTGGGAATTAATTTATAATTAAACTTTTAGGTTTGGTAAATTTAAGACGGCGGTGATCGTAGAGTTACATTTTTTGTATCCCTGCGGTGCCTATTTAATGCACCTATGTTTTGAGCTCATACGCTTTCCTAATCTAATGACCGAGGAAAAAACCTATGAATCCGCACAGACAGTGCCCTTTCAGACCGTTCGTTAACACCGTCAGGTTTCAGGTTTGAATAAGGCATGCACAAGAATGATGTTCTGTGCCTATTTTTCCTTGTACCCACTTATTGTGTGGTTCATCCACTTTGTTTCTGCTGTCCTGTATTTTTACTACCGGGCCTGGCGTTCTTTATTTCCCAGGAGGTGGTTTTAGATTTTGCAAAATCTAATCGTTACAACCTTGTCCACCCTTCGCTTTATTTCATTCTATTTCATAGCGTTATTATACCGGACCAAAGGCTCAATACCCGACACTACATCAGCAGTTTAAAGCGTCCTTTAAACCTGAACAGCAGAATATACCCTCTGTCTTGAGTTTTTTGATGTTAAGGTGCAAATTAAAAATCAACTTACAAACTCCCCCCTGTGGGAGCGATTCAAACCGAGTCGATCGCACGGGAGTCGTCGGAAGAAGGTGTCCGGCGCAGCTGAGACAGCTGGCTAGTGGAGCAATTTAGCCACCTGGACTTCTCGTGGGACGACGCCTTGCAGCCCTCCGACGAAGACCTTCCGCACCGGTGCTCCGTGCGTCGGGTCACGGCACCAGAAAATGATGGGTTATTTTGGCAGCACAGGTTACCTAGAGTAAATCACAAACACAGGTGAGAGCTGAAATGTGTCTTTTATCTCTGCAGAGATAAAATGCGAAAACCAAGAACGAACTGACCCAGCTTGGAGTTCAACAGATCTCAAAGAGTAGACCCCCTCTGAGTCTCTTTTATTCAGTACAAAGCACATTCCTTAGTTACCATAAAAAGAGATATACGACTCTTATCTGTAGCACATCTGGTCTCACTCCCATCCATGTGTGTCCAGCAGTCTACAGGAAAAGGAGCTGACAAGCAAATCTAAAACCCGCCTCAGGAGGACATCCTGACCTTCGCCTGAGTCACACACACACACACACACACACACACACACACACACACACATACACACACACACACACACACACACACACACACACACAGCAGAATATAAAAATGTGTATCCACTTAAAAGCTGTATTACAATTATTCTCTAACACCTACTTTAAACTTGTTAAGTTCTGATTTGCCAAAATTTGTAAACAAGTTTCATGAAACAAATTCACTTCCTCAATTCTTGAGTTCCTGCCAGCGACACGGTTCCGCCAGCCTGTATTAGCGCATAAAGAATCATCCTTCAAAGTCAAACTTTCTTCGCAAATTTGCAAAGGTCCATCTGAGAAACAACTTCATCTGACTGCCAGCAGACCCGGGAAATCTTATGGACAGAGGCAAGAATTCAAAGGAAGCTATTGCCTTTGACATTCCAGAAGTCCTTTCTTCTGGGCAGCCTGGCCGAGATGACTTCACCTCCACCGGATCACCTACAACTCCCATCACATTGTATGACCCATCATTAGTCGTAGAAATATAATATTAAATAGATTTTTATAAACTATATGACTCTGACTCAAATGATTGTGTCTTTTTTTTCCCTGATCTACCCAAAGGATCTAGTTTCCTTTTAAATCAAATATTAAAGGATCAATAATATTGATAATTCTTATTTATATGGAATATACCTTATTGGTCAGTCATTAAAAATGACCACTTCCATCATGTTACAGCTGTATCATGTTTTGAGTCAGGTTACTTTTGTGAGGAAAAAACACTAAACATGTTTTATGAATAAAACATCAAACGTACATTTTCACATGAGAATGTAAAGAACATGTTTGGCTAACCCTACAGATCAAGCACGGAAGAGACTTCTCACCTGTGGTGAATTTTCATGTGTCTAGTCAAGTGATTGCTCCTAGAAAAACACTTGCCACAAGTTTTACATGGATATGGTTTCTCACCTGTGTGAGTCCTCATGTGTCTAGTCAAATCATTACTCTGAGAGAAACATTTGCCACAACATTTACATCTAAATGACTTCTCACCTGTATGAGTTTTCATGTGTGTTCTCAAGTTACTATTCTGGGAGAAATGTTTATAGCAAGTTCCACATCTAAATGGTTTCTCTCCTGTATGAATTCTCATGTGTTTAGTCAAGTTACTACTGTTAGTGAAACATTTACCACAACTTTCACATATAAATGGCTTCTCACCTGTGTGATTTCTCATGTGATCAGTTAAAACATACTTGCGAGTGAAAGATTTCCCACAGAAAAGACATGAAAATAGTCTCTCGTCTCTGTGAGCCCTCTTTTGCCTTTTTAGTTTCTGACTGTCTCTGTGATCTTTGGTTTGTCGACGTCTTTTATTTTGTCTCAGTTCTTCATTGCTGTTTGGTTCTGAGTTTTCATTCCTGCATCCATCCTGAACTTGGTTCTCAGCTTCAGTAGAACTCTGACACAAGGGTTGGTTCCTGTTTGGCTCTGGTTCACAGCCATCTGTTTCTTCAGAAGGAGAAGTCACCATGAAGGAAACATTTTCCTGCTTCAGAATCAGCTGCCCTTTATGCTGATGGATACAGATTTCCTGCTGTTCCTCTTTGATCAGTGGAGGTTCTGGTTCCCTCTGGTCCAAACTGGAGGTGGTCTCCTGGTTAGAGAGCTGGTCGGTCAGAATGTTCTCCTTTTGCCAGACATCATGCTGTGGACGTTCTGTACAAGATAAAAGACAAGAAAATGTTGATTGAAGTAACAATTAAAGCCTTCAATCAACAAAACATTTGAATCATGATCCATTGCAGAAGATTTACAGTTAACTCATGATTAACTGCAAATTCATTACAAATGATAAAAGTAGTGTAGCGTTCCATTTTCGGTTCTTTTTAAAACACAGGAAAAGTTTTTCTTTACCTTGCTGACGTACGTTTCGTCAGCAAGGTAAAGAAAAAGACTCAATTGGTTTTACTCAAAGAATACATAGCTCCACCCACTCCTGCCACCATACATTGGACCTTGTGCTGACTTATGGCATTGAGTGTGAGGAAATAACGATCTTTCCACATAATTCAGTCCTCTCGGACCACTTTCTGATAACCTTTGAGTTTTTTATAAATGAGTTCTCGAGACATGAAAGTAAATTGCATTATAGTCGGTCTCAATCTGACAACGCAGTTGCATCTTTTAAATCGTAGAGTCTTTCATTTTGTCACAAAGGCAGAGGGTAATATTTTCAGTTCCAGCCCCTCACAAATTGATGCCTTAGTTCATCATGTTAATTCCTCTTTATGTGTGGCATTAGATAATGTTGCCCCTTTAAAAAAGAAGGTACGTAATTAGGGGCCCGAAGTTGGCTCCCTGGTTTAATTCTCATTTACGAGCCTTAAAACAAAACTCTACGATGCACTTCAGTGCATCTTAGTTAAAATTTAAATATTCTGCCTAAAACGGGCAGTGTTGTGCCGTTGTCAGGTAAAAACTCTGCACTGTATTTTAATTTAAATCTGCCACCGCTATTGGCTAAGAGGTATGCTATGATGTAAACTGGTACATTATGATGTCACAATGCTGTCGTGAGCCTGTGTGTGTGTGTGTATTTGTTAGCAGCTCCACCTTCTCGGTCTGCCAGGCAACAGCATTTGTTGCATTTTTCAAACATGAAGTGAGAGTGGAGTTAGACTCTGGTAGGGGCTGACTTGCTCTTTAATAGAGCCATGCTGAGTGAGGTGGAGGAATCAGAAACTACAGAAACAGCTGGAGTTAGTGGACGTAAATTAGCAGGGTTAGATCCACGGTGTTTATAAAAACCACTTATGGAGGGAACAGGAGGAGAAACCACTGAGGAATGAGGATAAACCGACCTTAAAAAACTTGGATGGAGAAACCGTAATGCGGCCTGGCGGGAATGCGGAAGTGGCGCTCAAGTCGCCAAACAAAGGAAGAGACGCTAGAAGATCACGCCGATGTTTACTAGATAAACCACGCTTTAAGAGAAGTCTTGTTCTCACCTGGATTCCTGCTCATTTACCTCATTTCCTCCGATGTTTTCCCGGGACCGGATAAACATCGCTGAAGGCGCCCTGGTTGGAATCGTAATTTGGCTCCGGGCAGTTTGCCACTCAGATAAACAAACAGGGAGGTACATCCTCAGTGTATCTTGGGCGATCGTGAACGAACGGAAGGACAAAAGAGTCTGGCGATCATAGGAGATGGTAGCAGGGACATTACTGAAGAGGATCACAAGGTGGAAAAGAGGAGGATAGTAGAGAAAAGTTTGAAAAAGTGCCAGGTGACCGCGGCTAAGCGAAGCATAGGCACCATCTTGTTACCGCCCAAAAGCGGATGTGATGGCTCCACAGACAGTTCTGTGAAAGAGCAGGAGTTGGTATATGTTAGATTTAGTCACGAATGTAAAATCAAGTCAACGTTTGTTGGCATCAAGTCAGTGGAGAAGGCAGACGCATCACACATAAGCAAAGCCATTAGTGACATCATGGATGGGGTGAGTGATGACTGGGGAAGCAAACTAGTCGCTATGGGAACAGATGGAGCAGCAGTAAAGACTGGAGCAAAAAATGGAGTCGTCAACAAGTTGAAGGGTGGCCGGACCTACATCACTGGCATCCACTGCATGGCACACCGCCTCGAATTGAGCTTTTCTGATGCAATGCGCTCAAATGTGATGTTTCAGAAAGTGGAAGATCTGCTTTCTGGGCTATACACCTTCTATCACACCAGTCCACTCAACAGGGCAAACCTAATTAACAGGTTTCAGGTTCTTGGCCAAAAGCCATTGGTGCCCACCAGAATAGGTGGGACCCATTGGGTATGACACCTGCTGTGTGCCCCGGACCACTTCCTGCGAGGATACCGAGGTCTTGTACAACACCTTGAGCAGGTATTAGCGAATTAATAATAATGTGTAATGGCCTAAAAAATTTGTTAGAATTACTAACATTTACCTTAATCTATAAAGAGCAGTTGTTGATTTATGTGTAATTATTCTTTAAATTAATTTTAGATTCAGTCTCCTGATGCTCAAAATATCCGGGGTGTCCAGCAGGCCAAGGCAAGAAAATACTACTCTACCATTAAGGAAGCTGTTATCGTCCAGTTTTGTGGCTTCCTGCACGACACCCACACCCATCTGAACAGCCTGTCCACCTGTCTGCAGAGATCTGTCATCACTATGGCAGAGGCCCATGGCACCTTGTGTTCAACACAAGTAGTACTGGAAAAATACAAAACCAGGTATGTTTAGTAAAGTATCTTTATAGTTCCTCCTTGAACCGTCACCTCATCGTGGTGGAGGAGTTTGAGTGCCCTAATGATCCAAGGAGCTATGTTGTCTGGGGCACTTTGTGCCCCTGGTAGGGTCTCCCATGACAAATTGGTCTTAGGTGAAGGGTGAGACAAAGAACGGTTCACAGGATCTTTCATGGATGTAAATTCAGAGAGTCGGAGTACCCGGCCCAGAGGGTTACCAGGGTCCCACCCTGGAGCCAGGCCTGGGGTTAGGGCCAAATATCAGTTCAGAGTACCCACCCTTTTTGGAGTACCTGGGACGATTGCTAGATGCTCCATCAGGGGACTCCATTGTCCTGCTGAGGGACTTCAGTGCTCACGTGGGCAATGACAGCTTGACCTGGAGGGGTGTGATGGGAGGAACGGCCCGCCTGATCTGAACTCGAGTGGTGTTTCGTTATTGGACTTCTGTGCAAGCCGCAGATTGGCCATAACAAACACCATGTTCGAACATAAGGATGCCCATCAGTACACTTGGTACCAGGGCAGCCTAGGTCGCAGGTCAATGATAGAATTTGTTGTCGTATCATCTGACCTGCGGCCGTATGTTTTCAACACTCGAATGAAGAGAGGAGCGGAGCTGTCAGCTGATCACCACCTGGTGGTGAGTTGGATCAGATGGCAGGGGAAGATGGCACGTAGACCTGGCAGACCCAAACGCATAGTGAGGGTCTGCTGGGAACGCCTGGCAGAAGAACCTGTTAAGACGGTCTTCAACTCCCACCTCCGGAAGAGCTTTGACCGTGTCCCGAGAGCAGTGGGGGACATTCCGAGTGGGCCTTGTTCCACTCTGCGATTGTTGAGGCGGCTGTTGCTAACTGTGGTCGCAAGATGGCCAGTGCCAGTTGTGGTGGCAACCCCCGTACCCGCTGGTGGACACCAGAGGTTCGGGGAGCCGTCAGGCTGAAGAAGGAGGCCTACAGGGCGTGGCTGGTCTGTGGGTCTCCGGAGGCAGCAGACAGGTACTGGATAGCCAAGCGGGGTGCAGCAGTGGCAGTTGCCGAGGCAAAATCTCGGGCGTGGTAGGAGTTTGGTGAGACCATGGAGAAAGACTATCGATTGGCTCCAAAGAGGTTCTGGCAAACTGTCCGGCGCCCCAGGAGAGGAAGGCAGCAACTCGCTCACACTGTTTACAGTGGGGATGGGGAGCTGCTGACGTCAACTGGGGCTTTTGTCGGGCGGTGGAAGGAATACTTTGAGGAGCTCCTCAATCCCACCTATGCGCATTCCGAGGAGGAACCAGAGCCGGGAGACCTGGGAATGGACTGTCCAATCTCAGGGGCAGAAGTAGCTGAGGTAGTCAAACAACTACAGAGCGGCGGAGCCCCGGGGGCAGATGAGGCTCGTCCTGGGTATCTCAAGGCTATGGATGTTGTAGGGCTGTCATGGTTGACACGTCTCTGCAACATTGTGTGGTCAACGGGGGCAGTTCGTGTGGAGTGGCAGACCGGGGTGGTGGTCCCCATCTTTAAGAAGGGTGACCTGAGGGTGTGCTCCAACTATAGGGGGATCACACTCCTCAGCCTCCCTGGAAAGGTCTACTCCAAGGTACTGGAGAGGAGGGTCCGATCGATAGTTGAATCTCAGATTGAGGAGGAGCAATGTGGTTTTCGTCCTGGCTGTGGAACTGTGGACCAGCTCTATACCCTTGCAAGGGTGATGGAGGGGGCATGGGAGTTTGCCCAGCCAATCCACGTGTGCTTTGTGGATTTGGAGAAGGCTTATGACCGTGTCCTCAGGGGCACCCTGTGGGGGACGCTCCAGGAGTATGGGGTGGGTGGCTTTCTGTTAAGGGCCATTCAGTCCCATTACCAGAGGAGCGTGAGTTTGGTCCGCATAGCCGGTAGTAAGTCGGACCTGTTCCCGGTGAGGGTTGAACTCTGCCAGGGCTGCCCTTTGTCACCGGTTCTGTTCATTACCTTTATGGACAGAATTTCTAGGCACAGCTGTGGTGTGGAGCGTGTCGAGTTTGGTGGCAGGAGAATCTCGTCTCTGCTTTTTGCGGATGATGTGGTCCTCCTAGCTTCATCCAGCTCTGACCTTCAGCTCTTGCTGGGTAGGTTCGCGGCCAAGTGTGAATCGGCTGCGATGAGGATCAGCACCATCAAATCTGAGACCATGGTTCTCGACCGGAAAAGGGTGGCTTGCCAACTCCGGGCCGGGGGAGAGGTCCTACCTCAAGTGGAGGAGGTTAAGTATCTCTGGGTCTTGTTCACAAGTGAGGGTAGGAGGGATCGGGAGATCGACAGGTGGATTGGTTCGGCGTCTGCAGTGATGCAGACGCTGAGCCGATCTGTCGTGGTGAAGAGGGAGCTGAGCCAGAATGCCAGGCTCTCCATTTACCGGTCGATCTACGTCCCAATCCTCACCTATGGTCATGAGCTTTGGGTAATGACGGAAAGAACAAGATTGCGGATACAAGCGGCCAAAATGAGTTTTCTCCATAGGGTGGCCGGGCTCAGCCTTAAGATAGGGTGAGCAGCTCGGACATTCGGGAGGGACTCGGAGTAGAACCGCTGCTCCTCCGGATCGAAAGGAGTCAGTTGAGGTGGTTTGGGCATCTGGTCAGGATGCCTCCTGGACACCTCCCTGGGGAGGTGTTTCGGGCATGTCCTGCCGGCAGGAGGCCCCCGGGTCGACCCAGGACACGTTGGAGAGGTTACATCTCCAATCTGGTCCGGGAACGCCTTGGGGTCCTGCCAGAGGAGCTGGTGGGGAAGGCCGGGGAGAGGACGGTCTGGAGCTCCCTAGTTGGGATGCTGCCCCCGCGACCCGGACCCGGACAAGCGGAGGAAGACGACGATGACCTTTATAGTTATATTCTTTTTAAAGTTTCCACCAGAAAAGAGGAAGAAAGTGTGTTGCTGTTATTTATCAGACAGGGACCCATGATGAAAGCCACAGTTGCAGACTGCTATGAGGGACTAACACTAACAAAAGCAGGTGATAACAAGGCCCTCATCAGCTCACAGACAGAAGTGATCGACAGGCTAGTTGAGAAAATGACTCACAGGCTCCAGGAAGCCAGTGTAGGGATTCTGCATGCCACCAAGCTAGTCAGCTTCACCAACTGGCCACAGTCGGGAGATGAAGAAGCAGGTTGGTTTATCAGAGCTGTCCAGTCAGGATGTGAATAAAAACGGCATGCTTAATTATTTTAATGCCTTCTTTTTACAACACTCTTCTAGATTTTGGTGATGCAGAACTGGAAACACTTGTGGACCACTTCAGGCCTGTCCTGGAGACCGCTGGTGTCCACGCTGAAAGCATTTCTGACCAGTGGACTGCCCTCAAGTCGCTCATGTCTCAAGAGCCTGGGTCGCTGCCGAAGACGTCATGGATCGCAGTAAACAGACGCTTTCAGCATTCCTGCCCTGATTCGCTGGCATTGATCGACCTGGAGCTGTCCCTCCCTCCCTCAACTGCTGAGTGTCAAAGAGGCTTTAGCACCATGAAGCAAGTTAAAAATGACTGGAGGTCCAAATGACCTTTTGCACATGACATCACTCCACTCATGGGACCACCATGTTCGCCATGATGGACGACAAAAAGGCCGTTTACACACGTTGAAACTCCGGTGAAGCTAGTCAAAACAAGCCCGTTTGCAGCCTTTTATCGCTTTTATTTAGTTGGTTTCACAGTAAAATGGTAACAACCTGCTACGTGGCTGGCTGCACTAACAGGCAAGGATGTAAAGTCCACTCGTTTTTACATTTTTTCAAATAACGTTGATCGATACCGACGATCGAGATGAACTGCAGTGGTCAATCAAACGGACTAGCAGCCCTCGGGTTTACAGCGAACGTGTTTTTACCGGGTAAGATAATGTTTATTTCATGACGAAGACGGGGACAGGGACAAATGTGATGCGTTCTTCTGATGGATGGATATGCCACCATGGAGGATGCGCGGTACCGTGAAATGCAAGATAATTAATTATAATATTGTTCCAATGTATGATTACGTGTGTTAAAATTACGTTATTTAGTATGAGCGTCGCCATTAAGAGAGATCTTGTCTCATCCCGGTGTGAGAGCAGCAGCTGAACCCGGTAACACCTCCAGCAACAGAAGCTGGTAGGGATCCGGACTTTTGTTTAAATCAGCTTGGGTGTAAAGTAGTGTTGTCAAAAAATCGATACCTAGATATAAATCGATGCTAAAAAAGGTATCTAAATGAGATATTCCATCCCTGTGGTATTGATATTATGGACTATTATACACAGCCTTCTTCAAGTACACCGACACGCACGACAGCCAGATGCCGTAAAGCAGCCTCCGCCTCCCAGACAAACAGAAGAAGAAGACGCCGCATGGCGACTGTACATTGCAATTTCCCACGCGAGTTGTCTCTGATCCAAGTTTTGTCTGCCAAATAAATAAACAAAAACATAAACAGCGAATTTGGGAGGCGCTTCACAGCCCAACTTAATTAGCATACCAAGTCCAACACGTAGTTGTATATTCGCGCTTATGTGCTTAAAGGAAACTCCCGTTTATTGCAACCTGGACTTAATTTCTAGCATGCAGTACGTTTGTTTACTCACGCTGACAACTTTGGTGCTATTTGGATTCCCCGTGGTATTTAGGTCCATCGGCGAATCACCGTCTGCGTATATATCCATGTAATGGGTGCAGACGGGCACCCATGGTGCAGCCTCGAAATAAGACATTATCTGCACCAAAACATCTTCATGTCGAAAGGTTTTGTTAGGAATCATTAACGTGATTCCCCTGTTCATTTGGAGCGGGTCTGGTCTGGGATTTCTAGGCGTGAACAGACTAGCCGCGGCTAATCTAACCGGCGCTTTTAATGACGTCACTGCCGTGCGCCAGTGTTTTTATTAAGATTACCGGTAGATGTACCTTTGTTCTACTGTGGAGAAATTCCTTTTCTCCCTTTATTGACCAACAGAGTTGTTCAAAAGTACAGAACAAAACATACGGCATTACAGCTTATGACAAAAATGCACCTTAAACAGAGTTTAAGCAGCAAAACATCACTCTGCTAATAGTGTATATATAGTGAGACAACTCATGATTTAAAGTGTTAACTTTCACCAGTTTTTGTATGCACCTTTTTAAAAATGCTGATACTTGAAAGGTTTGAGCACTTTATACACTTAATTCTTAACATTTAATTTTTGCAATATAAATTGAGGAATGTTATTTTTGAATAAACTTGTTCAATAAATTGGTGTTTTTAAATAGTATCGAAATCGAGTATCGAGTTTTTTGTTCCAGTATCGAATCGAGTTTGAAATTTTAGTATCGTGACAACCCGAGTGTAAAGTGAAACGCCGTTTATAACATAAAGTTATAAATCCAGTCGGGTGAACTTGGGCAGAGTAGGCGGCTTGTTTACATCGGTGAACAGCTGCAGAGAGAGCTTAAGCTAACGTTCGTAAGCTAGTAAATAACACTTAACTTTTGTAAACATCGCTCTCTATGAGCCCCGTCTAGGTGCGCTGCTTCTTCTGATAACTGAACATGGGCCTAAAGAAGATTTTCAGGCTCTACTTCTCCCTTTGTTTAGTACTCGTGTTGCTCACTGTTTACATGCTTTAGCCGTTCAGCATGGCGGACCCACGTGACTAGGTGACGTCGGTGCAAAGGGTCAACATGAGCCCTGACACACTTTCAGATGTTCTCACGGTGCAGCTGCGTTCTCCACAGATCAAGGACTATGACCCAAATGAGGCTGTAATGGTCTGGCACGAAGACGGTGTCAGGAGCAGGAGGCCAGACTTCAGTAAGAGTTCATAAAATCATCTAAAATTAAATAACTAGTAAAATGACAAGAGAGTTGTTTTTCTTATTAACTGATGCTTTAATTATTTTGTCGCTCCTCTCTGTTTGGAATCAGCATCACATATGATAGGATCACATGCTCTAGGTAGACCTACACCATCGTGATCTTCTACCAGCCAACTCAGCCGGTGAGTCAAGAATGTAATTTCAGGCCAGCTAAAGGATGTGTTGACAGTCTTACCATCTGACTCAGAAGACCTTCTCTCATTCCAGTCATCGTCTCCAGTTTCAGACCCAGCGTGTGACAGCTCAGAGCCTACACTCACACCATCATCCTCTTCATCATCTCCACTGACTTCAGCCTCTGAAGGACCAAGTGTCTGTTCATGAGGGTTCAGATCTGGGTTCCTGCTAGTTCCTGCTCCTCCACCAGCTGAGCTGCAGGCTGGAACATCTCTGTCTTCTAGTTGCTGCTGATGAAGCTGTGAGATCAGAGGTTTCTCTTCATCATCCTCACTCTTTATAGTAACTACAGTGACTGGAAACCTGGCAGCATCCGTCTCCTCCTTCAGATGGAGCTGATCTCCCTCCAGACTGGTCCAGAGCTCATCCTGTTCCTCCTTCATGTGGAGGTGTTCTGGGTCCTGCTGGTCCTCACCAGGAGCTTCTTCTTTAACCAGCACCAGCTGTTGAACATCTGTAGGACACACAGAAGCACATGAAACATTAATTTCACACATAAAACAGTTGTAAAGACAAACAAACAGGTCATGGCTGAAGGTGAGAACCAACATCAGTCGAACCACACACACACACACACACACACACACACACACACACACACACACACACACACACACACACACACACACACACACACACACCAGTACCTGTGTCCATGCTGATGAAGCAGTCCCAGCTGATGGATGATCCTGAAGTGGTAGCAGGTTTTCTTTAGCCGTGTTTAGCTAACAGCTGCAATAGAAACAAAGCAGGAGAGCTGATTAAGATGCTGCTTCAGAACAACGCAGGAGATTAAAGATCCAACGCTTTGGTTCTGATCAGCTGAGGACACATCCAGTCTGGAAAAGAGGACCTTTGCTCACCAGAGTTCACAGAGTAGAGCTAACCGCTTTTTCCTCCAGAGTCACATTCAGATTCGGGCCTTTTCCGTCGGAGAGTGTGAGCAGGATGGATGAGAGAGCGAGCAGCGATCCTGCATCATGACCAACTCAGATGAGCGAGTCTGATAGAGGGAACCTCTTCAATCTGATGAAAGCAGCAAAACGAGCGCGTTTCTCAGAGAGGCCAAAGGAACAGCAGCAGATCCAGAGGGCAGGAAGTCTAGAGAAAAGCTTTTCTCACCCATCACCTGCTTCTGGAGCTCCGATTGTCACGAAGACCGCAGAATAGCTTCTCTGCTTCTGGAAAGAACTCCACCAAGTTGTTGAGGAGGAGAAGAAAGTTTCCACAGCCTGGTGAGAAGATTTCTGCAGCAGCAGCAGTTAGTCGCTTTAGCTGATCAACTCTCCCAGAGACTGAAGTGAAGACATTTTTACTGCAGAGCCTCAAATCTTCTCCTCACACACCACAACAACAACAAGCTAGCTCTGCTAGCAGCTTCCGGTTTCTGCTGCTTCCGGTGGTCTGTGACCAGCGTAAAGGTGCACTAGCGCCACCTGCTGGATTCTCCACCGACTGATCCTGCTAGGCAGAAGAACCATGGTGGTTAGAATACATGTTCCACATATTATCACATATAATCTGCAAGGCAACTTTACTTGTATAGCACCTTAAAATGGTATTCAACAACCATTACCGGTTCCCGGAGAACTATAAATAGGTTTTCAAAAGGTATTTAAAACCAGAGGGTAAAGAGGCCGACCTAACGCTCAAAGGCAGCTCATTCCAGAGTCTAGGCCTAGGGACTGCTACAGAGAAGCCCCGTCACCTCTGAGCTTACTTCTGGTCTTTGGGACTTCCAGGAGCATCCTATCAGCCAACCTCGGAGACCGTGCAGGGTAGTAAAAAACCAATAGTTCAGAGAGGTAATCTGGATCAATCAATCAATCAATCAATCGATCGTCAATCAATCAATCAGATTTGATTTATAAAGCACTTTTCAAGCAAAGTGCTTTACAGAATTAAAATGACCCCAAATTCCCATAACCGTTTGAAAACATTAACAGACACACACACACACACACACACACACACACACACACACACACACACACACACACACACACACACACACACACACACACACACACACACACACACACACACACACACCAGTAAAAATTTATATTCGGTTGAGTCCAGATCAATTCAATTCAGTTCAAAAATACTTTATTAATCCCAGAGGGAAACTGATTGCTGTAGTAGCTCAGAATAATAATAATAATCAAGTCATCAAAGAGTTCTTGTATATTACAACGGCTGTTGGCAGGAAGGATCTCCAGTAGCGGTCAGTGTTGCAGCCAAACTGAAGAAGCCTCTGACTGAAGACACTCTTCCGTTGTTGGACAGTCTTGTGAAGAGAATGCTCAGGGTTGTCCATCATGTTCTTGATTCTCTGGAGAATCCTTCTTTATATGATCTCCTCCAGCGGTTCCACAGTCGTCCCCAGAACAGAACCAGCCATTTTTATTAGGCTGTTGAGCCTTTTCAGGTCCCTGCTTCTGATGCTGCTACCCCAACAGACGATGGCTGAAGAGATTACTCTCTCGATTAATAGGACCATCTACATCGCGTTGCGGTGATTACGCAAATTGAACATCTATCTGAGTGGCAGGGATGCCTGGAGGAAGAGCTGCAGGACGAGGAAAAGACATGGCTCAAGACGACCCGGAGGAGATCATATATGTGTGTGTATATATGTATATCCATACTGGGACTGGAAAGCCGACACAAAAGCTATGCAAAAGCAGTGACGAATCATGACTCAGCAGAAGATGCCTGGCACCTGCCTCCTTGCGACCACAGCTAGCAACAGCCGCCTCAACAATCGCAGAGTGGAACAAGGCCCCATCGAAGTCAATGTCCCCCACTGCTCTCGGGACGCGGTCAAAGCTCTGCCGGAGGTGGGAGTTGAAGACCGTCTTGACAGGTTCTTCTGCCAGGCGTTCCCAGCAGACCCTCACTATGTGTTTGGGTCTGCCAGGTCTACGCGGCATCTTCCCCTGCCGTCTGATCCAACTCACCACCAGGTGGTGATCAGTTGAAAACTCTGCTCCTCTCTTCCCTCGGGTGTTCAAAACATACGGCCGTAGGTCAGATGATACGACTACAAAGTCTATCATCGACCTGCGACCTTGGCTGCCCTGGTACCAAGTGTACCGATGGGCATCCTTATGTTCGAACATGGTGTTCGTTATGGCCAAACTGCGACTTGCACAGAAGTCCAATAACGAAACACCACTCGAGTTCAGATCAGGCGGGCTGTTCCTCCCAATCACACCCTTCCAGGTCATGCTGTCATTGCCCACGTGAGCATTGAAGTCCCCCAGTAGGACAATGGAGTCCCCTGATGGAGCACTATCTAGCACTCGTCCCAGGGACCCCAAAAAGGGTGGGTACTCTGAACTGATATATGGCCCATAAGCACAAACAACAGTCAGGACCCGTTCCCTGACCCGAAGGCGCAGGGACGCTACCCTCTCGTCCCCCAGGGTAAACCCCAACACACAGGCAGAGAAACAAGTCATTTTAACATTTAATCAACAATCAGACATCTCTGTAATTCCTACTTTATATAGCAATAATCTAATTTATCCTATTTCTAATTGTATTATTATTAAAACTTGCAAATGAAGACATCAAAAGCTGTGTTGTTACTATAGAAAATATTTATTTGGATATCCATAATAACAACTGCACTAGTAGGAATTAAGTTTGAGATAGCCTACCATAAATTCTCTAATACAGGCCTTCATTTACTCAAGCACATCCTGGTTCAGGCCTTTATGGAAAGGAGGCCAGATTTAGAGGCAGGACTCAAGTTCAATTTGAGCTAAATAAACTACCAGTAGAAAGAATAAAAACAAGATTTTGTCTCTATTTGAACCTATAAAACACTAGGTTCGTTTATTGAAAATGTACAGGTAACGTACGTACGTAAGCATATAGAACATTTACAACAAATACCGTTGTTTCAGGCTAAATCCCAGTATGGTAACAAACGTAGCAAACATGCCGATAGTGCATTATAAACAATTAGGTCATAGATTCACAACAAAAAGCATCAGACACCTTACCGCTCCAAAGTTTAACCGTTCGTGTCTCGTTTGGTTTGAAGTAAAAAAATAAAATGTAATGACCCGCACTTGTATAGCACCTCTCAGAGTAAGGACGCCAAAGCGCTTTACACTACAGTGTATCATTCATCAATTCACACACACACATTCACACACTGATGGTGATGAGCTACTGTGTAGCCACAGCTGCCCTGGGGCGCACTGACTGAGGCGAGGCTGCCGAGCCCTGGCGTGTTTACCTGCTGTTTTTGTAGCTGCGTTTCTAAGCTGTTCAATAAAACGCCATAAAAAACATTTAGTAAACCCTTACCTGTGGTGAAGTCATCACTGCTAACTGTAGCATTTTCTGTTTCTGTCTCATCTTGCAGCCGGAGATTATGATCCACTATTACGTCTTTGTTAAGTTTAAGTAAGTCCTTTGTGGCGCACTTCTTTCGGAACACAAAAAAAAATTGCTTGTTTTTGTCCCAATCGCATGGAATTTGGGCATTTTACACACAGTCAACGTAGTAAATAAAGCCTGGTGCACCGGAGTCGCACCCACAGTTTTGAGAAGTCAAGTGGTCACACAGCATGCACCGCTGAGCGCTTCTTGGAAAGTTGCGCGATAGTTTGTGAGACTAATTCATTAACTGTGAGTAAGTACGCTATTTTTTAAAAATATTTTAAGAGTACTTTAAAGTTATTAAACTGCAGCTGGGTTTGTGCTGTAAAGCCGGACACTATTAGAGACCAGCCTTCATTTACCCCCGCTGACATAGAGACCAGCTAATGTAGGAGACCTGGCCGGTAATGGAGCACAGGCCAATATTAGAGGATTTACGGTATCTCAGAATCACCAAAGGCCTAAAGTGGCCTTTTTAAAATTTATTAGGCCAACTGGATATGTATTCCAGATATTTATACTTCAAATAGAAATGATCATGCCAGATATCCATTAGAACATTCTTGACGGAGGGAATTTTTTAGATATCTGAAATGTTCTTTCTAGACTGTGAGAATTATTCAGTTAAAAAACTCTCTCTTCATAGATATTGTACAACGTAACTGTGTTACAGAACATAAAAGTAACGTCACGTTACTTTACTAGGTAGCTAATTACTTTTACAATGTGGTAACTGAGATACTAACTCAATTACTTTCTGGAAAAAGTAATACGTAACTATAACTAATTACTTTTTAAACGTAAGATGCCCAACACTGGCTGTGACTAGCCCATCACATTGACAAAGTGCTGTGATTGGCTAGCCGTCAGACTTGCCGGAGCTGCGGAGGTTCCTTTTGTTTCAGTAACTGATGGTCTGGATTCCAAGGTTAGAGAAGTTGCTGCTTGCTAATTTTGCCATAACACTTTTAAAACCTGGATGTCTAAAATATAACCACAACAGATCCTGGGTCAGTCAGGAGCACGACAAAAACGCATTCTTAATAATCATGTGATCATGTTGTTTGAAATCACAATTTTGATCAGAAAACAATAGATCGTTCATCCCTAGTGGACTCTCATGTGAATGTTTAAGGTTGTCTTTGATTTGAATGTTTGATTACAGAGCTCACAGGCAAAAGGTTTCTGTCCGGTGTGGACTTTTACGTGAGCATTTAAAGTTGCCTTTCTGCTAAATTGTTGTCCACATAGCTCACAAGCAAAAGGCTTCTTTCCTGTGTGGGTTCTTGTGTGTCTGTTTAAAGTTGACTTTTGGGCAAATCTTTGATTACAGAGCTCACAAGCAAAAGGCTTCTGTCCTGTGTGGACTCTCACATGAGCTGTTAAGTCTGTCTTTCGGCTAAATCTTTTTCCACAAAAATCACAAGCAAAAGGCTTCTGCCCTGTGTGGACTCCCATGTGACTGTTTAAATCGGTCTTTCGGCTAAATCTTTTTCCACAGAATTCACAAGCAAAAAGCTTCTGTCCTGTGTGGACTCTTATGTGTCTGTTTAAAGTTGACTTTCGACTAAATCTTTTTCCACAGACCTCACAAACAAAAGGCTTATGTCCTGTGTGGACTCTATCGTGAGCGTTTAAAGTTGTCTTTCGGCTAAATCTTTGTCCACAGACCTCACAAACAAAAGGCTTCTGTCCTGTGTGGGCTCTCATGTGACTGTTTAAATTTGACTTTCGGCTAAATATTTTTCCACAGTCATCACAACTAAACGACTTTTGTCCTTTCTGGACATTCCTGCAAGAGTCTGCATGTTGCTTCACTCTAACACATTTCTTTTTAACCAAACAGCCTGAAGACCTTATTACTGAATGACCGGTCACCCTCACGTGTTTCTGGAGGGACCACTTGTTGATAAACTGTTTACCACACTCAGGGCAGCTAAAGGATGCTTTGACAGTCTTACGATCCGACTGAGAAGACCTGCTTTCATTCCAGTCATTGTCTTCATCTCCAGTTTTAGACCCACAGTCTGACAGCTCAGAGTCTAGATTCACATCATCATCCTCTTCATCATCTCCACTAACTTCAGTATCTGAAGAATCAGATGTTTGTTCATCAACGTTCAGACCTGGGTTCCTGCTAGTTTCTGCTGTCATCTGGTCAGCTGATCTGCTGGTTTGAACATCTCGGCCTTCTAGTTGCTGCTGATGAAGCTGTGAGATCAGAGGCTTCTCTTCATCATCCTCACTCTTTATAGAAACTACAGTGAATGGAAACCTGGCAGCATCAGTCTCCTCCTTCAAATGGAGCTGCTCTCCCTCCAGACTGGTCCAGAGTTCCTCCTGTTCCTCTTTTATGTGGAGGTGTTCTGGGTCCTGCTGGTCCTCACCAGCACTCTGTTCTTCAGGAGCTTCTTCTTTAACCAGCACCATCTGTTGAATTTCTGTAGGACACACAGAAACAATTATATGAATTGTGGACTGCTGTAACTTTATATTCACACATATGACAGTTGTAACATTGCTTTAAAAAGGCAGTAGAACAATAATTTAGAATTTAAAGGACCTCATGATTTTTATCTTGAGGGGCACTAAATAATATGGGGTGCCATTTGTAAAGTCAAACAGTCATAATCTAACAGCAAAATTTTGGGTTACTTAGCATATCATAAGAGAAAAATTGGGAGTTCACTTTTTCGAAGTCATATTTTCACCATGTTATTCATACATTTATAAATGTTAAAATTTCCAATTAAATATTTAGTTAGCAAACTAAATATTTAATTTATAGTTAAATATTTATTTTGCAAACCAAATATTTAGGTCTGATCTAAATATTTAGTTTGTAAAATAAATATTTAATTCACTAACTAAACATTTAATTTACTAATTAAATATTTATTTTGGAATAGGGCCGCACGATATTAGGAAAACCTGCGATATTCGATAACAGTGCTTAATATTGCGATATCGATATTACTCACGATAAATGAACAAATACTAAAGTATGCAGTGTTGATGTCGTCTGGCGTGTGACGTCTGCTCTGGGTTCAAAGCAAACAAAAACTAATGCATGAATTCCATTACAACATAACATTTTTATTGCAAAAACATGCAGCTGCACCTGCTACTGTATTAGCAGCTGCACCTGCTACAGTATTAGCAGCTGCTCCCGCTACCGTATTAGCAGCTGCACCCGCTACCGTATTAGCAGCTGCTCCCGCTACCGTATTAGCAGCTGCACCCGCTACCGTATTAGCAGCTGCACCTGCTACTGTATTAGCAGCTGCACCTGCTACTGTATTAGCAGCTGTACCTGCTACCGTATTAGCAGCTGCACCTGCTACAGTGTTAGCAGCTGCACCCGCTACAGTGTTAGCAGCTGCACCCGCTACCGTGTTAGCAGCTGCACCTGCTACTGTATTAGCAGCTGCACCTGCTACCGTATTAGCAGCTGCACCCGCTACCGTATTAGCAGCTGCACCCGCTACCGTATTAGCAGCTGCACCCGCTACCGTATTAGCAGCTGCACCCGCTACTGTATTAGCAGCTGCACCCGCTACTGTATTAGCAGCTGCACCCGCTACCGTATTAGCAGCTGCACCCGCTACTGTATTAGCAGCTGCACCCGCTACTGTATTAGCAGCTGCACCCGCTACTGTATTAGCAGCTGCACCCGCTACTGTATTAGCAGCTACACCTGCTACTGTATTAGCAGCTACACCTGCTACTGTATTAGCATCTGTACCTGCTACTGTATTAGCATCTGCACCTGCTACTGTATTAGCAGCTGCACCTGCTGCACCTGCTACTGTATTAGCAGCTGCACCTGCTACTGTATTAGCAGCTGCACCTGCTACTGTATTAGCAGCTACACCTGCTACTGTATTAGCAGCTGCACCCGCTACTGTATTAGCAGCTGCACCTGCTACTGTATTAGCAGCTGTACCTGCTACTGTATTAGCAGCTGCACCCGCTACTGTATTAGCAGCTGCACCTGCTACTGTATTAGCAGCTGTACCTGCTACTGTATTAGCATCTGTACCTGCTACTGTATTAGCAGCTGCACCTGCTACTGTATTAGCAGCTGCACCTGCTACTGTATTAGCAGCTGCACCTGCTGCACCTGCTACTGTATTAGCAGCTGCACCTGCTACTGTATTAGCAGCTGCACCTGCTACTGTATTAGCAGCTACACCTGCTACTGTATTAGCAGCTGCACCCGCTACTGTATTAGCAGCTGCACCTGCTACTGTATTAGCAGCTGTACCTGCTACTGTATTAGCAGCTGCACCCGCTACTGTATTAGCAGCTGCACCTGCTACTGTATTAGCAGCTGTACCTGCTACTGTATTAGCAGCTGCACCTGCTACTGTATTAGCAGCTGCACCTGCTACTGTATTAGCAGCTGCACCTGCTACTGTATTAGCAGCTACACCTGCTACTGTATTAGCAGCTGCACCCGCTACTGTATTAGCAGCTGCACCTGCTACTGTATTAGCAGCTACACCTGCTACTGTATTAGCAGCTGCACCTGCTACTGTATTAGCATCTGTACCTGCTACTGTATTAGCAGCTGCACCTGCTACTGTATTAGCAGCTGCACCTGCTACTGTATTAGCATCTGTACCTGCTACTGTATTAGCATCTGTACCTGCTACTGTATTAGCAGCTGCACCCGCTACTGTATTAGCAGCTGCACCTGCTACTGTATTAGCAGCTACACCTGCTACTGTATTAGCAGCTACACCTGCTACTGTATTAGCATCTGTACCTGCTACTGTATTAGCATCTGTACCTGCTACTGTATTAGCATCTGTACCTGCTACTGTATTAGCAGCTACACCTGCTACTGTATTAGCAGCTGTACCTGCTACTGTATTAGCAGCTGTACCTGCTACTGTATTAGCAGCTGCACCTGCTACTGTATTAGCAGCTACACCTGCTACTGTATTAGCATCTGTACCTGCTACTGTATTAGCAGCTGCACCTGCTACTGTATTAGCAGCTACACCTGCTACTGTATTAGCAGCTGCACCTGCTACTGTATTAGCAGCTACACCTGCTACTGTATTAGCAGCTGCACCCGCTACTGTATTAGCAGCTGCACCTGCTACTGTATTAGCAGCTGCACCTGCTACCGTATTAGCAGCTGCACCTGCTACCGTATTAGCATCTGTACCTGCTACTGTATTAGCAGCTGCACCCGCTACTGTATTAGCAGCTGCACCCGCTACTGTATTAGCAGCTGCACCCGCTACTGTATTAGCAGCTGCTCCTGCTACTGTATTAGCAGCTGCACCCGCTACTGTATTAGCAGCTACACCTGCTACTGTATTAGCAGCTGCACCCGCTACTGTATTAGCAGCTGCACCTGCTACTGTATTAGCAGCTGTACCTGCTACTGTATTAGCATCTGTACCTGCTACTGTATTAGCAGCTGCACCTGCTACTGTATTAGCAGCTGCACCTGCTACTGTATTAGCAGCCGCACCTGCTACTGTATTAGCAGCTGCACCTGCTACTGTATTAGCAGCTGCACCCGCTACTGTATTAGCAGCTGCACCTGCTACCGTATTAGCAGCTGCACCTGCTACCGTATTAGCAGCTGCACCCGCTACTGTATTAGCAGTTGTACCCGCTACTGTATTAGCAGCTGCACCTGCTACTGTATTAGCAGCTGCACCTGCTACTGTATTAGCAGCTGCACCCGCTACTGTATTAGCAGCTGCACCTGCTACCGTATTAGCAGCTGCACCTGCTACCGTATTAGCAGCTGCACCCGCTACTGTATTAGCAGTTGTACCCGCTACTGTATTAGCAGCTGCACCTGCTACCGTATTAGCAGCTGCACCCGCTACTGTATTAGCAGTTGTACCCGCTACTGTATTAGCAGCTGCACCTGCTACTGTATTAGCAGCTGCACCTGCTACTGTATTAGCAGCTGCACCTGCTACTGTATTAGCAGCTGCACCTGCTACTGTATTAGCAGCTGCACCCGCTACTGTATTAGCAGCTGTACCTGCTACTGTATTAGCATCTGTACCTGCTACTGTATTAGCAGCTGCACCTGCTACTGTATTAGCAGCTGCACCTGCTACTGTATTAGCAGCCGCACCTGCTACTGTATTAGCAGCTACACCCGCTACTGTATTAGCAGCTGCACCCGCTACTGTATTAGCAGCTGCACCTGCTACCGTATTAGCAGCTGCACCTGCTACCGTATTAGCAGCTGCACCCGCTACTGTATTAGCAGTTGTACCCGCTACTGTATTAGCAGCTGCACCTGCTACTGTATTAGCAGCTGCACCTGCTACTGTATTAGCAGCTGCACCCGCTACTGTATTAGCAGCTGCACCTGCTACTGTATTAGCAGCTGCACCTGCTACTGTATTAGCAGCTGCACCCGCTACTGTATTAGCTATCGAGAAAAGGAGACGTGGATGTGGGACCATGAACAGAGATGATGGAGTTTACTCATTGGATCGTGCATGGGATTGCATCATCGGAGAGGGGAGAGCGGGCAGCAGAGGGTGACAACGTCCTCTGCTGCCCACGGATAAACGGAGTAGGAAGTGACGCCACCATCAGTGTCAGCTCTGAAGATGTTTGCAGCCGCAAACGAAAAGTCAGCAAGGTAAAGAAAAACCTTTCCTGTGTTTTAAAAAAAGAACCAAAAATGCAGTTTAAACTCACATGTTCAGGCTTGGGTGTGACCTTCATCACCCTCTCCCTCTTTCCTACTCACTCCCTCTCTTTCTTTACATTTTTAATCACAATTGTCTATTTTTTGCTCATTTTAAATATATTTTAAACCATTTTCTAAATTATTTTTTATATTTTACATTTTTTGTTTTTGTGAAGCGCCTCGTGATTTTTATCTTAAGAGGCGCTAAAGAAATTATATTTTCTTCTTCTTAATATTTTACAGGAGGACAAACACTGAGATATACAGTGTATCAGCATTCAGCTGAACGATATTCAGATGTAAGTTTTGATCCATATCGCCCAACCCTAGTTTATGGTTAACTGAGCATAATCATCAGGAGCATCAATAACCGTTTAAATCAACTTTGGAATAAGTGCTTCTCTAGGACAGCTTTAGCAGGTAAATATGACCTTATCAGAGGGAGGCAGCTGAGGTTGGCCCTAATGGTTCTGGACACGTTCCTGATGAGGGACTCCAGATAAAGATGAGAATCCAAAACCAAAGAGAGTCTGTAGTGTCCAGAACACACACACACACACACACACACACACACACACACACACACACACACACACACACACACACACACACCAGTACCTGTGTCCATGCTGATGGATGATCCTGAAGTGGTAGCAGGTTTTCTTTAGCCGTGTTTAGCTAACAGCTGCAATAGAAACAAAGCAGGAGAGCTGATTAAGATGCTGCTTCAGAACAACGCAGGAGATTAAAGATCCAACGCTTTGGTTCTGATCAGCTGAGGACACATCCAGTCTGGAAAAGAGGACCTTTGCTCACCAGAGTTCACGGAGTAGAGCTAACCGCTTTTCCCTCCAGAGTCACATTCAGATTCGGGCCTTTTCCGTCGGAGAGTGTGAGCAGGATGGATGAGAGAGCGAGCAGCGATCCTGCATCATGACCAACTCAGATGAGCGAGTCTGATAGAGGGAACCTCTTCAATCTGATGAAAGCAGCAAAACGAGCGCGTTTCTCAGAGAGGCCAAAGGAACAGCAGCAGATCCAGAGGGCAGGAAGTCTAGAGAAAAGCTTTTCTCACCCATCACCTGCTTCTGGAGCTCCGATTGTCACGAAGACCGCAGAATAGCTTCTCTGCTTCTGGAAAGAACTCCACCAAGTTGTTGAGGAGGAGAAGAAAGTTTCCACAGCCTGGTGAGAAGATTTCTGCAGCAGCAGCAGTTAGTCGCTTTAGCTGATCAACTCTCCCAGAGACTGAAGTGAAGACATTTTTACTGCAGAGCCTCAAATCTTCTCCTCACACACCACAACAACAACAAGCTAGCTCTACTAGCAGCTTCCGGTTTCTGCTGCTTCCGGTGGTCCGTGACCAGCGTAAAGGTGCGCTCGCGCCACCTGCTGGACTAGAGGCTCACTGACCCTGCTAGGCAGAAGAACCATGGTGGTTAGAGTATATGTTCCACAGTATCGGGATCGTGCCTCCGTGTATGTGAGATCCAAGATGGGCGAATAAAGATGCACACCTGCCATCTATCACACAATCTACCACAGAGGGTAAAAGAATCAGGAAGTAAATCAGGAAGAAAAAAATTAAAAGAAAGAGAATTTTTACGTTTTTCTCAGAATTCTTACTTTTTATCTCGGAATTCTGACAGGGAATTCCGGGGGAAAAGTCAGAATTCTCTTCTTTTTTTTATTTTCAGTGGCCCTAATCCTCTTCCGTACCTCTGACTTTACAGAGGGAACTGACCTATCTATCTATCTATCTATCTATCTATCTATCTATCTATCTATCTATCTGCAGTAAAGAGTTACAGGAACTTTTAATTATATATATATATGGTTTACAAAGAATGGTGTGAAAAGGGAAAAACATCCAGTATGCGGCAGTCCTGTGGGCCAAATGCCTTGTTGATGCTAGAGGTCAGAGGAGAACGGGCCGACTGACTCAAGCTGATAGAAGAGCCTAACCCTAACCCAAAGCATTTGTGAAGACACGACACGCACAACCTTGAGGCGGATGGGCTACAACAGCAGAAGACCCCACCAGGTACCACTCATCTCCACTACAAACAGGAAAAAGAGGCTACACTTTGCACCGGCTCACCAAAACTGGACAGATGAAGACTGGAAAAATGTTGCCTGGTCTGATGAGTCTCCATTTCTGTTGAGTTATTCAAATGGTAGAGTCATGCTCAATGTTTTGAATACCGCTTTGAGTTTGCTCCCGCCTCTCTTCTTCTTCTTATTTGTGGTCTAATGGCACTTGGCAAACAACTATTTGGTGTATTACCGCCAACAACTGGATTGGAGAGGAATGACTACCAATCACTTCCTCTTTGTGCATCGGCGTCTTAAAGGAATGGTCCAACGTGGACCAGCAGTCAGGGCTAGGGGTTCCCAGGCGGCCGCCAACCTATGCCTAATGGTAAAACCGCCCCTGCTTGCTCGCAGAGGCCTTACTGTCGTAGGGAACTAAACCAGACAGTTCTCAGTGGGTCTAGTTCCTCGGCTGACCTATTGGATGGAATCCATGGACCGTGTTGGCCAGGAGGAATGTTCCCCACACGGTTCCGTGTTCTGAATCCCACCGGGCTTGGTGATGGGGGTATCGTAGAATTGTGATGCAGAGCAGAACGTGCAGTTCAGATCCAGAGAAGCAGCGCGAGCCTTGTTGAGCTCACTCGGACCCTGGGGTTTTGGGGTTAAAGGTCAAGCTGTCTGAACTGGAGCTCCCCTTATGAGAAAGAAGCTCTCAGTTATACAGCTGTCTAGGTAGCTTTATTAGGTCGAATACCTTCCAGGAGATGATGTTTTCCTGGGGTCCTTATAAAGAGTGACCCTTTTAGTGAACCAAAGTTTAAACACAACAAAATTAGCCAAAAGGCCACGGTATGAACGGTAAAAACTGAAAGTAAATCCATGTTTTTGAGTTTTGTTATTTTATCGTTTCTCTGGTTTATTACGTGAAAGAAGAAAAAACAAGAAAAATCATAAATGTGTAACTACTGAAATAAAGTTAAAATGCAATACAAATTATAAGGAATAGCAAAATGTTAAAATTTCAAAGTAATAAAAGGTAATAAAAGGTAAAACTGTAATCAAGCTATTAAAATGTTAAATATTACAAGATTAAAAATGAAAAAAAAAGTAAATAATTAAAATATCAAGGAATGATTAAACATTAACACAAAAGGAATCTAAAATTAAAAGTAAGTAATTAAGGTATCAAAGATTCATGTAAATTGAGGGCTAATGCCTCGCTGATCTTTTACTCATTAGGGGAAATAGATTCTCATAAGGTCAGGAACTTTTAGCTCATTGATTTTGGTCAGCACCTCTCAATGCTGAAGTTATGTTACGTCCTCTATCCTAGTATTTATTTATCCAAGTGGCTATGCAGTGTTTCCCCTACATAGGCTCAGGCGTGGTGCCACAGCTATGAATGGAACACCCCGCCGGACAACTTAGATCTATACGAGCCACAGATCCAAGTTGTCCGGCGGGCGGAACCAGGATCCATTCACACACACACACACACACACACACACACACACACACACACACACACACACACACACACACACATACATCTCTATCAGAGGAATCTCAACACCCACACTGTGGTGGCAATCTGGTTCTTTTTCTTCTTTAAGTCACCGTTGGAAGTTGGTCGAGTAATTTAGATTTGTAATCATGCGAATAATACCAGATGATCTTCTTTATGGTTTAATTAAAAATCAAATCGTGCTACAACTCGGTCAAAAAACTGTGTTGCCTCCTAACGCTCCAACTCTCATCTACCCAAAAAAAAAAAAAAACAACAACAAAACCTTCTATACAAGGAATTATGGGATACAGGAAGCCCAAAATACAAAGAAAATGTTTCTGAATCTAACACTTCTACATTGTAAGATTTTAACTTAAGTGTTTCTGTATTTTTTTTCTATTATATTTTTTAAACATCACAAATATGCATTTTTTTAAACGTATTCACTAATATAAGCTGAATTGGCTTGTGGAACCCAATAGTGATGTCGTAGTTGTGACAACACATGATTGCGCCCACAGTGGCCTGTTCTTTAATGGATGTTGCGTAAGATGAGTTCGGCGATCTTGCTTTGTTTAGGAAGAATTGCTGGGTTTTTAGCATTTTCTGGCAGAGCAGATTTGCTGAGTCTTCCACCAACTCTGAGTGTCCCATCTTGAAGAACTGGATCCAGTTCTAACAACGGATTGTTGCCACTAAGCTGTCCTCCTTTCTGCAGGACTTTGATTTCTTCTAGGTAATGTTGCTTTTGGCTGGAACGAATGATTTCTGATTCAGAAATTTCAAGATCTTCCAAAGAAAGTGAAATTTTTTCCATTGTGGATTTAAATTTCTTCAACTTGCATCTTTAACTTTTGTTTCTCAGGATCCTTTTCATCTTTCTGGATTATTTTTGAGTACTGTTTTCTCTCCTCTTTTAACCTCCACAGCACTTTCTTTAACCTCATAATCCAGGCCACTGATCTTTTTAGCTTATTCCAGTCTGAATAGTGCTCAATCAGTAGATTCATTGGTTCGACACCTTCCCAACTTTTACTGTATTAACTGTTGCTGCTGTCTTGACCTCTGGGTCACCTTGAAGATTTTCCTTTTTTCTCACTGGCTGTTCTGTTTCATCGAGAAGAAAGTTTGGTCCATGAATCCAAGATCCTCGGTTTGATGGAAATCAAACCTTTAGCTTTTAAGCCTCTGCTTGCTTGATCTGCAGGATTTTCTGCTGATGTTACATACTTCCATTGCACTGGTTTAGATGCTTCTCTCATCAATTAAACTCTGTTTGCAACAAAGGTTTCGAAGCGGGAAGTTGCATTGTCAGTGTGTTTAAGCACAGTTGTGGCATCTGTCCAGAAAACTGATGACTGCAATGGAATGTGAAGTTCTTGCCGTAATAGTTTGTCCATCCTCACCAAAACCACTGCAGCAGTCAGCTCAAGCCTGGGAATAGTGACTTGTTTAAGTGGGGCAACTCTTGACTTTCCACTGAGAAAAGCACAATGCTTTTTGCTTTCTCCATTTTCCATCAACAGGTAAGAAACTGTCCCGTATGCGTGATCTGAAGCATCAGAGAAATGATGCAACTGAGCTACAACAGGATGTCCAAAATCTGGAGGCTTTAAGCATCTACTCACATGAAAGCCGGACAGAAGCACACAATCCTCCTTCCTTTTCCTCCAGACATTTTCGTAGTTTTCGACGATCTCTTTATCCCAACCATGCAGCTCCTTACACAGGTCTTTTAACAAAAGTTTTGCAGGCAAGATGACTGGTGCAAGAAAGCCGAGGGGGTCATAAATGGAATTAATGACAGACAAAATGCCTCTTCTGGTTGTTGGTTTGTCTTGCAGCTTTATGGTGTAGATGAAAGCATCTGCTTCTGTATCCCATTGTACACCGAGAGTTCTCTTAATCGGCAAACTGTCATGCCTAAGATGTAGATCTTTCACGTTGCTGGCCCTATGTTCTTCGGGGATTGACATCAACACCTTTTGACTGTTGCTTGTCCACTTTGTCAATGTAAATCCTCCACTGGCCCACTGACCGGTTTCACTGCGTCATCTTCTGTGTGGACACTTTTCAGGCAGTCGTCTACATAAAAGCTCTGCATGACTGTCTGGACTGTTTCTGATGACGCTTCTGCCCTATTATCTTCAGCAGTTCTCTTTAATGCATAGAAGGCGACACTTGGAGAGGAAGTAGCGCTAAAAAGATGCACCATCATTCTATATTCTTTCATGGGCTCATCCAGCTTGCCATTCGGCCACCAAAGAAAGCGAAGTAGGTCAGCATCTTGTCCCGGTACACTGACTTGGTAAAACATTGACTCAATGTCTGCCATTAGTGCTATTGGCTCTTCCCGGAATTGTAAGAGAACACCCACCGGTGAGTTAGTCAGATCAGGTCCCTGAAGTAACTCCTTGTTTAGTGATACATCTTGGAACAAAGCCGTACAGTCAAACACCACCCATAAGTTTCCTTTCTTCGGGTGACAAACCCGTATGTAGAATACTCTCTAATCATCCCGATTCAATTGATGTTCTGGAACCTGGACAGCATAGCCCTTGGTTAAGATGTTTTCCATAAAACTCTTGTAGTCTTCAAAAAACTGAAGATTCTTCTTAAACTTTCTGTCTAAACATGCTATTTGTTGTTCTGCGACACAACAGTTGTTTGGCATCTGATTCTCATTTCTGAGTGGTAGTCCAATACTATAATGTCCATTTTGAAATGTTGTTGTCCTTTCTACAGACAGCATGAAGTGTTTAACTTCCTGAGACATTTCTTCCTTGTCATCATAATTAC